CCCTAAGCAAATGAATATGATACTTCTCAGACCAACTTGTGATTAATTCTCTGATTGTTTTGTAGGCATCTCTTGCTAATGATTATACAGCATCAGTGAACCGTGTCATGTGGAGTCCTGATGGAAGTCTATTTGGTATATATCAAATCCTCTTCTGAGAATCTGATTTTGTGTGCGTATAAAGAGGAAACTTAGAATTATGGGTTTTAATTGCAGGCATTGCTTACTCTAAGCACATTGTTCACATTTATTCATACCATGGAGGGGATGATATAAAGAACCACCTTGAGGTTTGTGCTTCCCTGATACTGAATGAATTTTTTTTAATTGTTCCTCTTACATACTGTAATCCTTTCATCATTTATGGTTTGTATCTTGCTATTTTTTTTTTGTACCTTGGTGTTTGCGGAGCTGGGATCTAAAAAACTACTGTCTTGTTTGCACAGATTGAGGCCCATGTTGGAAGTGTAAATGACCTTGCTTTCTCCTATCCCAACAAGCAACTGTGTGTAGTCACTTGTGGAGAAGACAGAGTGATTAAGGTTTGCATGACTACATAGTTGTTTCTGATAAAATTGGCAATACCCAGGGGGGCATATTTTAATGCCCTAAACTCTACAGGTGTGGGATGCAGCTACTGGCAATAAGCAGTTTACTTTTGAAGGTCATGAAGCTCCTGTATATTCTGTGTGCCCACATCACAAAGAAAATATCCAGGTAATGTCAAGTAAACAATGGTTAGCTTGATTTCAGTTCCTAGATTTATGGTTCTATATCATTCATCGGGATTGACTTTAGAATTTGAGGATTTTCTAGTCGCAGACCTCTTGATTTCCTTTCCTTTTTGTTTTTGTTTTTCCAGTTTATATTCTCAACTGCAACTGATGGAAAGATTAAAGCATGGTTGTACGATACCATGGGTTCGCGAGTTGATTATGATGCTCCAGGACATTCATCAACCACAATGGCATATAGCGCTGATGGAACAAGGTTTTTTTTCATGTTCCTTCACTGTCTTGTATATTTGTTAGCTTGGAGTCCGAGTCATGATAGTATTAGAGTTGCTTTGTGACGGTGTCAAGTTGTTACAGTAATTTATGGGTGCTGGTAGTTGGTTAGCCTGTTGGTTTCTTGTCATCCTTTCACAGGTTACCTAATATTCTGCTATTGTTGGATGTCAAATAGACTGTTCTCTTGTGGGACAAACAAGGAGGGAGAATCCCATTTAGTTGAGTGGAATGAAAGTGAAGGTGCAGTAAAGCGTAGGTATACTGGCCTTGGAAAGCGATCAGTTGGAGTTGTGCAATTTGATACCACTAAGAATCGGTTCTTGGCTGCTGGTGATGAGTTCATGGTCAAATTCTGGGACATGGACAATGTCAGCTTATTGACAAGTATAGACGCAGATGGTGGACTGCCGGTAAATTTTGATATACATTCTATCTATCAAGGCTTTCTTCTTGCAGTTCTTTTCTTTGTTTACAACTCTTTTCCAATAAATCTTCATGCAGGCTTCTCCTTGCATAAGATTCAATAAAGAAGGAATTCTCATGGCTGTCTCGACCAGTGACAATAGTGTTAAAGTCCTAGCAAATTCTGATGGAATTAGGTTGCTTAAGACGGTGGAAAATCGCACATTTGATGCTTCAAGAGCTGCTTCTGCAGCTGTTGTCAAGGTAAGAATAGTTTCTGAAGTTGGAAAATGTCAACCCTGTTCCGTCCTGTTCGAGGATTACAAACTAAATGACACACATACAGGCCCCTTCAATACCAAATTTTGCTGCTGCCAATCCCAATCCTGGAACTAGCATGGGAAATCCAGCTGCTCCTTTACCATCCATGGTTGGAATGGTCCGTGTCGTTCTTCATATTCTATTCAGATGTGTATTGAAGCTCTATTTTAATTATTAAGTACTCCAGATCATTTATTAAATGAAGATAAAACTGTTGTGATAGTATCCCTGCATAAGACGAGCTAAACCTGACAAATTGTTCTCGTCTTGTGCAGCAGATCAATGATAGCCGAGCTTTGGCTGATGTTAAACCTAGAATAAATGAAGAATCCATGGAGAAGTCAAGGATCTGGAAAGCAGCTGAAATTAATGAGCAATCGCAGTGTCGTTCTCTGAGGCTTCCTGATAATTTAACTGCAATGAGGGTACGCAGCTGTCATATTTTTGTGATTTTGTTCTCCTTGTTCTGAGTAGGCCACATAATTGCAGACTCAAGAGGCTCCTTTCTTATTTTGAAGGGATCTATCCTCCTTTGTGTGATGGTTGGTTTATCATGGAATCAACTAGAGCTTAGATCAATGGGTTAACCTAGTAAGAGTATCTGATACCATTATAATTTACCATGTTACTGGCAATTGTTTCAGGTGGCCAGGTTGATGTATACAAATTCTGGGCTGGCCATATTAGCGTTAGCATCTAATGCTGTTCATAAGCTCTGGAAATGGCAGAGAAATGATAGAACTGGGAAGGTAACTATTGCTTTTTCAAGTTTTCCATTTCATTTTCTGTTCTTCCTGGAAGAGATGTTGGAAGGTGTATATTTATTTGTGTTTCTTGTTCATCTCCTCGATGTTATTAACAATGGAATTTCCCCCCCCTCTGCAGGCCACTGCTAGCGTTGCTCCACAATTGTGGCAACCATCTAGTGGAATATTGATGACGAATGATATAAGTGATACAAACCCTGAAGAGGCTGTGCCATGCTTTGCTCTTTCAAAGAATGATTCTTATGTTATGTCGGCTTCAGGAGGAAAGATATCGCTTTTCAATATGATGACATTCAAGGTAGAAGCTTGTCTCTTCTGCATTGATCCGTAACAGGTAGTTCTCTCTTTATCATAATACACTTTCTCACGTCATGATATGGTTTGCAGACAATGACAACATTCATGCCCCCACCACCGGCTGCAAGTTTCCTGGCATTCCATCCTCAAGACAACAACATAATTGCTATCGGAATGGAGGATTCTTCAATCCAAATCTATAATGTCAGGGTTGATGAGGTTAAAACCAAGTTGAAAGGTCATCAGAAAAGAATCACGGGTCTCGCCTTCTCCAACACCCTAAATGTGCTCATCTCTTCCGGAGCAGACTCTCAGGTTAGATCATCACCCCACCCTACATATATATATCGTAAATCCATGCTTTGAATGAATAGACTGGTTTTACTAATATTATTTTCCCTGACTACAGTTATGTGTGTGGAACACGGATGGATGGGATAGGCAGGCTAGTAAATTCCTGCAAATCCCTCCCGGGCGTCCGACCTCCCCTGTTTCGGATACCCGGGTCCAGTTTCATGTCGACCAGACACATCTGCTCGCCGTTCACGAATCACAGATAGCACTGTACGAAGCGCCGAAACTCGATTGTTTGAAGCAGGTAACTAGGACGGAATTGGTTTCTTTCAAGCCATGTTTTGTAGTTGATTGATTATTGATGAAGTCACGCTGTTGCTAAATTGTTCTTCTCTATAGTGGTTCCCTCGAGACGCAAATCCTATCACACATGCGACCTACTCTTGCGACAGCCAGTCGATATACGTCAGCTTCGAAGATGGAAGCGTGGGTGTTCTTACAGCTCCAGCTCTCAGACTGAGGTGCAGGATAAGTTCTGCCGCTTACCTACCTCCAAATCCAAGGTCCGTTCCTCTTCTCTGTTCACCAAAACTTTATTCTCGTCCCTCGGTTTAGCTGTTTGACACTTTGGAATGTTTCAACAGCTTGAGGGTCTATCCGTTGGTGATCGCGGCACATCCAACAGAAGCCAACCAGTTTGCTCTGGGACTAACAGACGGCGCAGTCCACGTGCTAGAACCATTGGAATCGGAAGGGAAATGGGGCACCGCGCCACCGGCTGAGAACGGTGCTGGAGGAGCGCCGAGCACTTCCGGGGCCGCTGGATCAGAACAACAAGCTCAAAGATGACACCTTTAGATGACTGAGTGGCGCTCGCCGCTCTCTTGGCCCCACAGTTTGATTTTTCGAGGGAAAGCTGTGGAAGATTTCTAGGGTATCTATTCATAGGGTTTTCTTAGTGTAATTTGTGGCTCTCAACTCGACTCTCAACCCCAACCTGGTAGAAGAGGTTTGGAAAGCTCCCTTCATATAAGAGAAGAAGACTAATGTGTTCTTGATGCATTATCATGATCCCCTCTTTTTTTCTTTCCCTTCTTTCTTTTACATGATTATATATATGATTGAAGAGACCTCTTAGACAGAGAATTGTGGTGTAAATTAGATAGTCAAAGAATGCATCAAGATAAGAGAGCAGGGTTTGAGGTCGTCTTCATGACAGTAGATTATTTTTTTTCTTTTAACTTTATTCATACTAAGGTATGGAGGAATGATAGGGGAACTTGATCTGTTTGTCTATTTCATCTGTTCATTCTTACTTAACAGTGCTTAGTCTTATGTCTAATTATCATTATCCACTGTTTCAGTTGTAATCACAGTTAATTTAGTTGTTCCTGAAATGTTATTTGAAGGGGTTATAGGTATAATATGCCCCTCTACTATGACATTTTATCAAACATGTCCCTCTACTATTTTTTACATCAAACATGCCCCTGTACTTTGAAAAAATTATCAAACATGCCCTTCTGTTAAGATTTCCATTGATAAAATCGTCAATCATGGTTGAACCGAGATTTAGATGACCCGACATCGGCAAATGGGAGCGAAAATGTCAGTTTTTTCTCCTGTTTCATTTCTCTGGGTCTCTTCAAAGTGAAATTATTTGAATTATTTGACTATAAAAAAGAACAAAAAAAATTCTAAAGTGAAATTATTAGGGATATTTTAGACATTTATGCCGCCCAAACCAAAGTTGGACCTTGGTTAACGGTTTTTGGATGAAAATTTAAACAAAAGGGCATGTTTGATCATTTTTACAAAGTACAGGGGCATGTTTGATGTAAAAAATAGTATAAGGGCATGTTTGATAAAACGTCATAGTAGAGGGGCATATTATACCGATAACCCTATTTGAAGTGTAAAATGCAATGTTGACATTAGCTGCAATGTACCGGATCGTAGCACTAAACGAAGGTATCAGGGAGCAAGAACCAAAATACATCTAATACGAACTCTACGAGCAGATAAGGCTTGGAACAGACAATGGTTATCTATCACAGTAGGTTAAATGATTGTACAACGAGAGGTTTTGAGGTCGAACAGAGCACGAAGTCACGAACAATGCTTCTTTCCTCGAGACAACTCCTGTATACACAACACTGAAGTTTCAAGAATGCAGAACCCTGTGCAAGATTGGTTACAGTTGGTACACTATTTAATTTCGTCTTCTATTCGACTTGGCATTCCTCTTGGTTTTGGCTGGGGAGGACTGCTTCAAAGGCATAGGTAATAATGTCCCTTCGCGGATGTCACTAGGATCTGTCATCTTATTCAGAGTCTTCTGAGCTTCAAGGTAAACTGTAAGATCTCGAATCTGCAAAATGCAGTCCTGCCAACCATTAACACAACTGCTCCCAAAGAAATAAAGGTTAAATCACAGTAGCAAACTAGCAGTAGTACCTGTTCTTCTAGATCAAGTATCATCTCATCCTTGGACCTTAAAGATGAAGATTGCCTGAAGGATGCAGAAGAGTAATTAAGTTAGCTATGGAGTGTAGTAGCACTTATAGCCCTATACATATTTGCGGAAACCGTACCTAGCTTCTATTTCTTTGGCCTTTTTACGCCAAGCGTCTTCATCCTTTATGAGACCTCGGTTGACCTAGAAAATAATAACAAAAACATAATCCTTCCATTCCGTGAAGACACAGACCCAAAATATGTTCACAGGTCACTCGAGAGACTTACTTCTGCCACTGCATTCTTTTCACGTTCACATAGTTCCAGCTTATTCTGGAGCTCCTGCATTGTTGAACTCACAGCTTCCTCCACTGCTCCCGAGATCGAGATTTCTTGCTTACCTTTGGCTTCTGCTATTAAAGATTCGTAGTACTGCAAGCGAATGGAGAAAGAGCCAAACACCATAAGATGTGTGGAAAACTGATTATAGTAACTCTAGAGAAACCTTCTGACTTAAACCAGGCCTAAAATTTCATTGCCATGAGTAAAACTCCATCAGAGAATTCGGAAAATTGGGAGCAATAACCCAAGAAGTCAAAAGCATTGGTGTTACAAATATGGAAACTAATGAAACACTCGCCTGTCTTTGAGTCTCTAGCTGTGTTGCAAGAAGACGGTTGTACTCATCAACAATCTGCAACGAAGTCATGCAAAGGCAACATATGAAGTCCACGCACTAGTTTGTAATTAGAATAAAAGGCTTAATGTACACAAAAAAGAGAACTCACTGCTTCAACTTTGCTACTATAGAGAGCCCCACCAAAACCAGCATCGTCACTACTACACTCACAGGTACCACAATCTCCTTCCATGTATGTACAGTTAGAGTTCACATCAACAGACTTATCATACGCTTTCGACTGGTTTAGGCGATGGACATAGTTGTCACCAACGTAGTCCCATATTTGCTGAGTTCTTAAATCAAGAGAGTACTGGTGCTCTGTACGTTTCCAATGCCTTACTGCATGCCCTTCTTTATACCTAAACTGACAGACAAATCTATAATGTCCCGGGTAATAATAGACATTAAATTGACAGTCAGAAATTGAAGGATCTATTACCTTCCACAACCCACAAAGCCACAAAGCAGACAAACCCAGAGATTTTCCAATGTGTCACACACAGCACAAGTCGGTTTCTCATCCTCCTGCTGACAATATCTGCAGACCTGAGAGAATATGGAGTCAATTAAACCCGAAAAACAATTTTACAAGCACGTAAGGAAAAGGGAGCATCTTTTCACCTGGCAAGACAGATATGTCCACTTTGAAGTGCATGAACATTGAAATGAATGATCACAAAGGGTACTGAGTATTCCACTAGTGTCAGGATCCAACCTCTCTGCAGTTCAAAACAACACCATAAAGAGCAGAACATGAAAGCTACCCCTCGAACCTACGCTTCAATGACTAACCAAGGCATATTGGACAAGTAGGCAACGCCGCGAACCCTGCCGGAGGAGTGCTGGCAACCTCAGCCGAATCAGTGTAATCCACTGAGAGTAGGAACAAGATGTGGCATACCTCTGCCTGAATTTATCATCACAACTCTCAGAAAACAAATCGAAGGTTCATAGCAAAGCTGAAAAAAGATAACAAATTTGAGATACCCAAAAGCCGAAACTATACTGTAGCTCCTCAATGTACCTCAGAAGGAGAGAATCGTTTCCCATTGAAGTTGCTGTAGAATCTATCGGCAGCCAATTGGGAATCGAGCTTGATCAACACGCTATACCGATCTTCCATCCCGTCATTTCTACAATTCCAATTACGAATTTTAAGCAATCCCCAAAATTGAGCAAACGGATTCCTGTATCGGCGATGTAAGTTCTCCCTGTACCTGATGAAGACGAGGTCGAGGACACTGTCGATGTGGGTCTCGCAGAACCGTACGAACCCATCGGGGGACAAGTAGTTGGGGACGGCGACGACGAAGAGCGAAGTGGAGCGGGAGCTAGGGTTCGGGAGCGAACTCTGCGACGCGCTTCGGTACAGGTGAACGACGCCTCTCCGCTCACCGTACTTAGGGTTCCGGCTAGGGATGGTCTCCGGGTGATTGGCGGCGGTGGAGGAGACGACGGAGAAGGCGGTCTCCTCGAGATCGAGAGGGTGGTGGGGGTCGACGGAGTGAACTCGGAGGATGAACATGTTGGTAGACCGCGGAATTGGGGGAAGGTAACTGAAACGGACATTCGCGGGAAAAAAAAGAGGTGAACTGCTAGTTTGGCGGTTAACGGCGTTGTTGACGGCGTTAGTGAAGGAGTGCCAAAATTCTTTTTGGATTCAACAAATTGATCCCTTCGCGCTCCTATTGAGAAATTTTACAATGCCTTAATATATAGAATCTTACACAAGGTGATCACTATGTATGCCTTGTGATTTTCATAAAAAAAAGGGTATATTTTTCTTTGATATGTAGGATGTATGGTAAATATGGCATCGATAAAGACTTTTGATCTTGTTAAGTTAAATTATCTAAACACGAAGAATTGAGATAACAAGCTAATTTATCGATCAGTTCTTAATATATCTAATGATTTCATGCAAATTATTAGTATCGATGAGGCTTGATACATGTATTTAGCATTGAATAAACAACTCAAGCGGAATATAAATATTCTCTCTCTCCTAATATTTTTCAACATTTACGTTGCTTCTAAACAAGATTGCAAAATAAGACTATATAATCCTCTATCTAAATCTGGTTAAGTGATTGTTACGTAAAAAAAAATTGATAGTTTGAAAGTCCGTTAGCAGGAAACATAGATTACCGTCAAACTACACCAAGTAAGCCACCATTCATCTCCTCTATTTCTCCTTTGTTTCTTTTGTGTGGATCTGGCTAGGAGTGTCACATCCGCTCTTTTTTAAACCTCTTAATTACATGTATGTTGCGAGTAAAGATTAAGATTTAAATATATGCTATTCTCACAATAGACTAGTACCATGCATACATACTAGCGTATTTCAAAATTTTCGAAACTAAATTATTTACACAAGTTTACAACTTACAAACGACAAGAAAACTCATCGAATCCACTACGTTATAAGTAGAGACGATGTTGCTCCATTATCTTCTCCTCCCCAACCCATTTATGAACTTGCTATTTGAGTTCGATTAAGAGCAAAGTGAACCCAAAAACGGTTCCATTAAGATTCAAGGCAATTGAATGTAGTTACTACCTTGAATATTTCCATCTGCTTATAGAAACACGCAGAATCTCCACTTACCAATCTAAGAGCAAGAAGAAGAAGAAGAAGAAGAAGAAGAAGAAGAAGAAAAGACTCTTTTGTCTGCTTTCTTATCTTAGAAATCACGTGGACTGGCAATTATTGGGGGAGGAATGGGATAGCCGTAGAGATAAGGAAAATATGGTAGCTGGTGGATCCTCCATTTCTGGAGAGGAAAGAAGAGAAGAGGTATGCTCTGTTTCTCCTTCCACGGCCATGGCTCACACTTGACCATCCTTACACCATTCAATTAGAGCAAAGAGACAGAAGGAGAGGGAGCTTTTTTTGGTCCGATTTATATCCAAGGTAGCTTCTTTTCTCTGTATAGAAGTGTTTTGTGCTGTTTGATTCTTTCCCATGTTTGTTGATTCCCGTCCGAATCCAGCCAAAGCATACATTTCTCTGTATCGAAATGGGTTTTGCGTTGTTTGATTCTTTCCCATGTTTGTTGATTGATCCCCTTCCGAATGGAGCCAAAAAAAAAATCCATCTCTGCGTATAGAAAAATGCCTTATTTGAAAGGGAATATATTGAAAGGCAGCTTTATCCCCTTTGAAACTGCTCTCAGATTCCGCCATTGCAGCCCGGAAAAAATGGAGGGTCTAATCCAGATGCCTTACGACGCTACAGTCAAGCTCATGTTGTCTTCCTTGGAGCGCAATCTGCTGCCGGACGCCGTCGTCCGGCGCCTCACCCGCCTTCTTCTCGGGGTTCGCCTTCGTTGGGGTTACAAGCTTTCTGCTGAGCTCCAGCTCTCCCAGCTCCTCCAATTCGTGCACTGTAACTATTATCATCAACTGAATTTCCCCTGTTTTTTTTTGTGTGTTTTGTTGTTTGGATTCCAATTTGAGGGTTGTCTTGTCTTGCTTGTTTTTCTGTTGTTGTTGTGGTTTGCAGCTCTGAAGGAGATGCCTATTGCTGTCCAGACAGAGAAGCCGAAAGAACAGCACTACGAAGTCCCCACCTCGTTCTTCCGCCTCGCTTTGGGGAAGCACCTCAAGTACAGGTAGATAGCTCAATTGGGTTTGCTCGGCGAGAACTCATCTCGTCACATATATGTGAGAACTTGTGTTTAACTGTTTTTGCTTTTTCTTGCAGTTGCTGCTATTTCTCTGACAAGGGAAGTACACTGGAGGATGCTGAGGCGGCGATGCTGGAACTGTACTGCGAGAGATCGGAGCTGAAAGATGGACAGACCGTGCTTGATATCGGGTGCGGTTGGGGTTCGCTCGTCCTCTACATTGCGTCCAAGTACAGTAACTGTAAGGTCACTGGGATCTGCAATTCCACGACTCAGAAAGCCTTCATCGAGGACCAATGTCGGTATGCTATACTGTTCGCTCCCCAACCTTGTTATCGACTTGTAGCCATGCCATCAAGAATGGGAGGAAATTCAGGTTGATTTGAGTTTCTCCCCTTCTCTTTCTTTTTGGTTTCCGATAGGGATCGCCAGTTGCAGAATGTAGAGATACATGTTGCTGATATTAGCAAGTTTGAAATGGAGGCTTCCTTTGATCGAATATACTCGATCGAGATGTTTGAGGTAATGTAGTGCCCTTTGTCCCTGCTTTGTCAGGAGATCATAGATTTGTTAACTGTACTGTTGTGCAAAACAGCATATGAAGAACTATAGAGATCTTCTTGGAAAGATATCCAAGTGGATGAAACAAGACGGCCGCCTTTTCGTCCATCACTTCTGCCACAAGGTGTTTCCATATCATTTTGAGGTACCTATGGCTTTCAACCCAAGTTTGCTGACTGTGGTAGGCTTTGATTCGCTGCTACAAACATGAGTTTCTGCTTGTTTTTGTTCAGGATACTCAAGAGGAGGATTGGCTGGCTAGGTACTTCTTCAGTGGAGGCACAATGCCTTCTGCTAATCTCTTGCTCTATTTCCAGGTGAAATTTCGATCTATCTCCCAATTCGGATCACGGTTTAGGCAACCTGGATCGCTGTTATAGTTGCCTTACTTCTAACAGAGTTGAAACGTATTTTGCGTGTAGGATAATGTCTCAGTTGTAGATCAATGGCTTGTGAATGGTAATCATTATGCCCAGACAAGGTGAGGATGCATAATTGCCTGAGAATTTTCTTACATAGAATACCCAGAACTGATTTGCTTAGCTTTCTCCTCCAACATTGTACCGAATGCTAATCGATACCGTACTGAATGCTTGCAGTGAGGAGTGGCTGAAAAGGATGGACAAGAACATGGGTTCCATCAAGCCGATAATGGAGTCCACCTACGGCAAGGATCAGGCTGTGAAGTGGACTGTCTACTGGCGGACGTTCTTCATGGCAGTGGCAGAGCTCTTTAGGTACAACAATGGCGAAGAATGGCTGGTGGCGCTTTACCTATTCAAGAAGAAATGAGCAAGTAGTTTGATTATTCGAGATTCGTTTTAAGAACATCGACGAGAATGAGAAGTTATTGCGGATTTAAAATTCGAAATTGAAATCGGAAAAGAACTTTGTTAGAATCGAATGAAAAACATGTTATGAAATTGTTGAAACAATTTCCTTAGGTGACTGTTAACATATTTACAAGTTGCAGAAAAAATGTCTGTTTGTCTGATAGGCTGCTGCATTCTTCAACCTCTCCTACTTCTTTTCCTGTCTCTTCCGTCGCTCTTTCTTCGCCTCCTCTTTCGATCTCTACCTTCATCATCGGAGCTCGACTCCTCCACCTCCGACTCCGAATCTGAACCACCAAGCTTCTTCTCTCGATCTTCCTTGGCGACTCTTTCCATCTCCTTCAGATGCTCTCTCATCCCTTCAGTCAGCCCACCAAGCCCTATCTGCGTAAAGAAGTTGATCGAAAACCTCGCGTTCCTCGTACTATCCTTGGGAAAAATCGAATCCCCCAGCACAGCAGCATTCTCTGTCAGCCTCTCGTTCAGCTTCCGAATCCCCAGCTGCTCCGTCATCTCCTGAAACAGATACTTCACAAAGATCCTAGACGACGAGTTCGTGTCCTCCTCGGTCAGCCGAACATATCCCAAAACATCCCACGGCAATGCATCCGTAGCAATCAAGTGCGCGAACAATGTGGCCACATTTCTCAACTTGTTCGTCTCTAGCCGGTGACTCGTCGAGTACTGCTCGGCGAAGCACCTCTCGAAATTGGCCCGGTAGGCTAGGCGAATCATCGAGAGCCGCTGGGCTACGAGACCGTAAATCCGGTTGTAGGTCTTCTCCTGTGCACAAGCCTCCACTAGCATCCTGCAAATCTCCAGCTCCTGCCCTGGTGCAATGTTCAGGGAGAGCAGCTTGTGTCCGAGCTCCTCGAATCTCAGGCTGTTCATGATCGTCAGGTAGATGGTCCGACGGAGCTCCACTGCTTCTGTCTCGGTCTTGTCCTTGATCTCGAGATCATCTTCTTCTTCCGATTCGTCGGATTCAGATTCTGAACCGGTGGATGTTTCTTCTTCTTCTTCTTCTTCTTCTTCGTCCTGATCGCCGAGAATGCTCTTCTTTTTCGCTTCGAATTGGGACTCATGTAGAGCATAGTCGGGGTCGAATTTGAACACATTCCGACCTAGCTCCGGATCGACGCCCGAATCGTCGAGAGAAACATCATGAGTGATTTGCTGGTCATCCTCCAAGAGATCCAGCTCGGGCCGAATCGCAGGGTAACCTCTGAAATTCGCCTTTCGAATTGCGAACAGGCCTTCGATCAGAAACTGCACTCGCTTGTCGATCTCCCCCTCGTGCAGGACGTCGCGCAATCGATCGAAACACGCGGCCAGTCCTCTCGGCGAGAGGTCGTGAAGGAGCGCTCCGCATTCCGTCAGGAAGGCGACCGCGAGCTCGACGCCGTCGTCGCTAGGGTTTTCGAGCAGGCGGTGGAGCAGCTCGAGTGCGAGTGTGTGGTGCGCGACTCGCTGGTTAACGAGGTGCGCGACGAACTTCGCAAGCGCGAGGAGCCGGGGCTTGTCGTTGCAGCGGAGCGATTTGTTGAGCTGCCAGACGATCCGCTTCAGGAGGAGCTCTCCGATCTCCGGGATCCGGGAGTTGACGACGGCGATTACGGCGGCGAACACGTCGGTGAAGCACGGGGAGGCCATCTGCGACCTGAGGCAGGATCGACACAGGAGGCCGGCGCCGCGAATTAGGTCCTCGGCGAAGAGCTCCGGGATGACGTTGCCGATGTTCGACGAGTTGACCTTGTTGATCAGGCCGTTGATGCTCTTCTTCAGAGCTTCCCAGGCGAGTCTCTGGTAGGCTTCGTCGTCGCTCCGGCCCCCGGAATTCTTCGCTGCGGCTAGTTTGTGAGGCGGGATGTAGAGAGCTTGTTGCGTAGCCTTCTGCATCATCGATCGGCGGCGAATCGCGTGAGAGAAGAACGAAACTGTGATTTCTGATTTCTCTTTGGAATGGATGTTGCGAATGGAAATAGGCAATTACTTGGAGCATTATATAGCCGGTAAAGGAATTCGAACTCAGATTCAGATTCGGATTCGGAATAGGAGAGAAAGAATCCTAATCTGTTGGGGTGATGAAGATGGGCCGAAAGTGGGCTAGAAGGCCCATTTTAGAATTGGCGGGAGCCCGGGACTGGTACAAGATTATAAATTGTCATATTTTCCCGCCATAATACAGAGCATCATATTGGGACCATCTCAAAAAATTGGTCTTTGCAGGGGAAAAAGAAAAATACACAAAAGCCAATGGCAACAACCCCTTTGTTGTTGCAAAAAGAATGAAGCTATAAAACAATTTACCTTTTCGTCATAATAGATTATGTCGAAATGGCGATCTACCTGCAAAAACTCCGGTGGCAGCCGAAGTACACTAGCAACAATGAGCGATTCATCCTTGCAGCAGGAATGTTTGCTGCCGTTGATAGCGATGAATCTCGCATCAGTTGCTGCTTCTAGTAGTAATGGTATGTTGGTGGCCACTTTTAACCACCCCGACGGGAAGTTGGCCCTCGGCACTTGAAAGAGAAGGGCCGAGATTTAGTCGTAATATGGCTGCGAATCCATGCAGAGATGCACCAGTTTCCTTTGGTACTGTCCGAAGTACTCACCGACGACCAAAACATCTTCGTTCTCCGGGTCTAAACCAGGCAAGTTAGGCGGCGGATCCTTGACTGACGGGCCATCTAGTTCGTCCTCCGAATTCGAGAGGATTTCGGAGTGGATTTCACGGCAGGCAAGGATGAACATGGCAGCTGTATCGGGTTGGTGCGCTTCGCGGAGTGCTGCCAATGCCTCGGGTAAAGCACCGGCAGCAACGTATAGTATAAGTGCCCTACATTGTTATCAAGAAGGCTCGTGATATAGGCGAGGAAAGTTATCTGGAGATGGCCAACAACGAAGCTTTGAAATGGATGAAAAAGCGATGTGTACCTCCAGACATTGTGCTCCGTGTGAAGAACATGGCCTGCCCACCTCTGCAGCACCCTTGCATAATCTGATCCTTTCAAATGAGTAGCTGCCAGAGTTGCAGCATCAGTCCAGCACCCAGCATCTTGCAGCTGCACGAGTAATGTACAGATGTGTATATACGATATTCAGTGCTCTCCCAGAGCTGAAATGTTTGCCTACTTACTTTCTCGTGCGTTCTGCCTTTTCAATTTGGTGAACAAGAGACCGAGGAATAAGATGACGTGAATGTACAAGAGATGATAAGCAAATAGAACTAAACCTGTGAACATGCTTCTTGATGCCTTCCAACAGCACAAAGTAGATGAGTACCAGAGAGTGATCTGTCAGTCCTGACCATGTTGGCTGCAACAACCTAAGATGATCATACGATAGCATAGCGTCACTGAAAAGTTACGTTGAAGTTTATTTCTCCGTGGGTCTATGCAGCTCCTAAGACACTAGCTCTCACCTTGACTGCAAGTTCAAGGAGAGACTTGGACACAGCAGAAGAAAGAGCCACTGCACGTAGGGCATTCGAGTAGAAGTAGTTGCTCTCTGGAGGAGTGGAAAGCAACAAACTAACAGCTGCTTCTAAGTTCCCAACCGTCACGAGTCTGTTAATGAAGTGAAGAATTAATGAGGTAATTCACCTGGTTTACTAGAATGCTACCTGTTTCCCCAAAACATAATTCGTTGGAGATGAGAGAGACTTACTCGTGCACTTGATTCTGCATGGCTGCTTCTCCCTCCAGTTTCTCGTGCCAAGGAATACGCTCATTGGCACTCTCCCACAACTCTTCTTGCTGAAAAGCCATTAATCTAAGTTGACCCTGATTCTGCTACAAAGATAGCAAAGTCAAAACAATGTCATTTTACATTCAAGTAACAGAAGAAATTAAATTTAAGAACAAGCATTAAAAAATATCCTAGATCTCTCTCACCAACGAGTCCGTATTCCCCATAGTAACCAATGACTTCTCCCTCGAGATGATTCTGGTCAACATAACTGCACCATCTAGCTCTGCCACTGTTGCCGACAGTGCAGATTTCAACGGTGACTTGCTAACTAATTTGCTCATCAAATGCTTCACAGCACGAGGCAATTGCATCCAGAAGAGTGCTTCTGAGGCTTCGCCAAAAATAGCAGCTGCAAATGCAAACCTTACAGCCGAACCTTTATTGACCACAGTTGCATAGAGTTTTGCTACTTCATCATCAAGTATGCAGCCTGGGAAATATGTAAAGGTAAGCAATCAGACTGACTAAAAGATGAGCGAAGGGGGAACAAACATTAAAGAAGAAGAAAATAATAATAATATAATAAACACCTTCTTTTCGATATGGTTCCAAGACTTTAAGGAGCATTTCTGGCACCACAGAATCACCAATAGCTGGTAGATCGATCATGTAACTACGTAAATCTCCTGCTGATGAAGAAGCCTCAGGAATTGACTGTGGTCTCTTATCAATGGCTGTGCTACAAGTATTAAACCATGAAGGCTTCACACCCAATTGCAAGATCATTCGCAAAGCCTGCATTAAAAACAACATCAGAAGTAGACAGGCTGCTTTTGGGTCAATAAAGGCTTCACACGGGAAAGATAAAATCACCAGAGAAGAATTATAATTACCAGTGCATGGGGAGTAGGTAGCAGTATGGGAGAGCAAATGGGAACAGGGCGGAATCTCTCTTTAACTGGCTGAGGCTGAGGTATATAGCCATGTCTTTTATCTTGCCTGCATATACAGCATCATCAATAGTTTAAGCATCAAATATCATAAAAAAATCTTAACTTCAAAATTCTTTCCCAAGTTAGTCTATGCATAGTGAATTATTCTCCAAAAAGATCTTAACTTATAATTTCTTAGGGAAAATTATGAAATACAATACATTAATTATGTCGTTTACCATGTCAAACTCCTAGAGTCGAATGTAATACTGAATGATCAGGTTTGGATAGTTTGTAGCATAAAATATAAACTGATTCCTTGTTTAAGGTGGAACATACACATTAACTTCAAGAAGGCGAAAGCTACTATCAGCTCCAGCAATACACAATACCAGAGGGTCATGTTTATCTGTTCTCAGGGGCAACCAATCGAGTTCCAACACTAAAGTTCCAGGAAACTGGGGCTGGAGAAGGGAATTAGCTAACGGGTCTGGTGAATCCTGCACATTGAAGTAAAAAATAAACACACACACAAGAAATCAATAAATACATGAAAATTGCACATCAATAAATCTTATCCATCCATAGGCTGCATTTCAAACAGAAATCTGAATGACACTAGGCAAGAGTGGTTCATGCAGTTACCTAGGAAATGCATGATAAGATCTGTCAATTGGAAGGGTTTCAAACTTACAAGATCGAATACAGAAAATGTATTATCATAGAAAAGCACAGCTATCCGGCCTCTGCTTTGATCTCCAGGGACTACAGGAGAGAACTTAAGCCTTCGAATCCCCTCTCGGTGAGTATTAAATGATGAAGATGACCCAGTTGTTACATCCCACCACCTTATGTTCCCTGTTCTGTCCCCCATTACCTGAGAAATATTCAGTCACTGCATCAAAAATGATAATCGGGGAAGAACCAAACTGTGATTAACCTGGCAGACTGAACCTTTGTGCATACCACATGAGGCAACCGGTAGGCCATTGCTGTGATTAGTCCATCGGATGCAACAAATGAAGAAGAAGGCCATTTTGGTCTAACACGAGGAAAAGAAACCAGAAGAAACATTATAAGCAAGGAAAGCACTACAGAAAGCATCACTAATACCTTATAAGTTAGCAAGCACGGCAAGGAAATTGAGTAGTAGTATCCTAGAAACCCACATAGTTCTTTTGACCATGTAGAAATGGACAGCACATACCTAAAATCTCGGATTTTCCGTCCGTGAACCTCAAAAACTCCAAGTGCTCCATTCACAAGTGCAAATGCAAAGCTTTCTGCGGCTTCATCTTGAGATGTATCTAAGCTCGCAGCTGCTGCACATAAAAGCTACTTCCATATTCAGGGGCAGTCTTTTATAAACAAAGAAAACTATCCAGATACTTTTAGACACTCGGACTAATAAAAAGATCATAAAAAATACTTCTGCTTGAAAGCTCACTAGATTCTGATGAAGTCGCTTTTGGGGTGGATGATCCATCTGATGCTCTAGGTGTACCTTCCTTTGCTTTTGGCGTAGAAGGACCATTCTGGACTGGCTTTGGAACGGTTGGAAGGGTCCATTCCAACACCGTGAATGGAAGAGCTAATGATCTAAGCTACAGAGATATTGATGACTAATAAGCATTTGTCAAAAAAAAGTATTGTTAAACTTCATACCAACATTACTTCCATCTACATGTTCCTCTTGAGTCTTGACAGTTGAAGCCATTTGACATATCAAAATGAAAAGAACAAACTACAAGAAGCCAACAGGAGAAGACCTTAGGGGGTTGAAGAAAATGTCAAAAATCTCAGGACTCCCGCACATAGAAGTTAGAACCCCAAAAGAAGAGTAAAGGGAAAAAGGAACTATTTAGGAAGAAGACTGAAAAGGCAGCATGGATGACTGAGAAACAAAAGTCTACATAATGGGGCTAAGGTCTGGGAAACCCAAGATTAATTTGCTGAGCAAAACTATAGTTAGTTAACAACTTCCTATTAAGAATTACATGGAGGTGAGAAATAAAAGAGCTGAAGGATATTAAAATAGATATGCAAGACGAAACAGATAGAGTTTTCTCGTATACTAGAATATGCTATTTGTAACCAAATTCACACCTTGATAGAATTAAGGCAGCTGGTAATAACATAAACAGTTAAAATGTAACCAATTGGAGAATATGAAAAGAGAAGGTATTTGACAACAAACCATAATGGGACTTTTTGTCATTGCCCAAACTTCCACGGGTGCATCACGAAACAAAATAAGGAGGTACCTAAATTTGACAACCGCACAATTTGAGATGAAAATAAGAAAAATGTTATGATATATCAACCATGCGGTTGGAAGGCATTATAGAGATAAGTTAATCAACATTTGAACTTTCCAGTTACCTTCCTGATGAAGAAGCCCGTAAAGCTCTAATTGGTGCTCGCTCTGGCTTGTGTAAAACTCGAAATGGTCTGTTAAGGCCACTTCTAACACAGGTCACGACAAGCCTATTGACATAACCTCCAGTTTTTTCATTAGCCTGGCTCCAACATGTAAAAAGTGTTGAAATGGCAGGATAGAACATATTCAAGTTTACAATGCCGTGATTAAGTAATGACAAAAAATTAGATAGATCTGCACCTGATTGTAAGAAAATGAAACCAATCTAGAGTTTCCAAGCCATCGCAGACCACGAACTGCGCTTGTGTGAACAGAAAAACTAGCCGCAACAGCATTAGCAGAGACATCAACAATATCAATCATTCCACTCTGAGTTCCTAAAGCAACAAGTGGGATAGCTACAGCAGGATAATTTCCCCCACCTGCGTGATATTATCTCATTAACCAATTTGTTTCCAATTTAGGTATCACCTCATTAAACAATTGGCAGTAGCAGCACTAAAGGTACTGCTAACTCAAAAAAGTAATCAATACTGGAAATGAAACAAATAAAAGCAGAAAGATGAGACTTACGAGCTAAAGTAGCTGTTAGAGAAGGAGATGGCACCGCCAGCATTGTTAATGTTGAAGAAAGAAGCTGCAACTGCCCAACCAAGCATATCTGCATCCGTTATTGGTCTCGTTAGTTCGCGTAAATGATCCAGAAAGAACAAAACGGGTTTAGTTCGTTCCCCACAATAACAAGTGAAAACAAGAAAAAAAAAACAATTAGCATGTTACTTCTCACACTCTTGACAAGTAATAAAGACCTCATGGACTTAGCATCACAAATGTGCTACAGTAACCAGTGCTTAGCATTGTAAATATGCTACATTAACTAGTCCTTTCACTGTTTGTACCACCTAAGAAAAGCAAGCATCTTAAGACATTGCCTAATTAGCTCCCCCTGATGGATGCACTTAATTTTCTTTGAAGGCTCTTCATCCTAACAATTTGACAGCTTTCTTAGAGAAGTCTAGTTACATACGAGCTTGGAAATGTTAGCTAACAGGTCCAAGCAAAATAAGAAACCCCTATTAGGAAGATAATGATTATGCTCAATTAATACACACACTTAAGAACCTTCAAAATGTAGATGATTTTAGATGCAAGAAATGAGTAAGCCAATATGGGTGGCAAAGGCTATGTATTAAGTACGCAATCACCATTTAGCTTACATTTCGAAGAAAGACCATTCTCAAATGCACTTAGGTAAGGATCTAAGATAAAAGCTGAAATTCCAAAATTTTAAGAATAAGAAAGGGGAGCAAGAGATTCCTTGCCTTGAATGTTGTATTCTCCTCACTGGCAACAGATGATGACCGACCTTTATTGCCGCTCAAATTTTCCTGCTGCTTGTTTCTTTCCAGGTTGATACCGTCAGTGGAAGCTATACCATCAGCATCCTCTCCTGTGTATGGGATAACCTCGACATCCCTTTCTACTATCTCTTTAGCAGTCAGAAGCCAATTACATACTTTGCCATCATCAGAAATTGAAATCATGTGTGACTTAGAAATAAGTTGAGTCTCCTCATAGAAATCAAAAGGATTATCAAAATCCTTGGTCTGAGGAGTGTTAGGCACATCCCGGTATAACTTGGCAACATTCTGGAGCGTTGACTCTGATTGACAGATGGTTACAGCAAGTAATGACGGCGAAGGAACAGAAGAGCCGATTGAAGGCATTAGTTCTTCCATTGCACAACATAAGTGCACCTGCTCTCCTCTTTTTGAAGGAAAAAAGAGAGCGAGAGAGAGATTGTGAATTAAGCTATGCATATCAAAATTCAAAAGTAACAACAAAATACAAATCTAATCAAGTAAGGTAAAAAAAAAAACCCAATGGACAGATAGAAAGGTTCGGACCAGGGAGGCTCTCATGCTCAGTACACGTGCATCAAAATTGAATGACCGCAGGAATAAGTTTAGGCAGTGGCAATATGCTAATGATAGCAGAATGAGTAACCAGCCTATCGCTTCAAAGAACTAGAATATAACAGGTAAAAGCAGTTTGATCCCAACAATGCGCAGTGGCGAATGTAAGTATCAGCTTTAAGCCATTTAGTATTGAGAAAAAATTCCAGATACGGTAAAACAAAATAGAAATTAAGATTGAAAGCAGTTCATAAACAACCTTTTGGATCTTTCATTAGGATCTCATTAACCACATTTCACATCCCTACCAGCCATTCAAAAGTGAAAATAACGGCTCTCCCCACGTCAAAAGAATTCATTTGAGCTCCAACTTGGTTCTAGTAAACGAATCTTTCCTAAATCATGAGCAATGAAGCAACATTTTTCCAGTACTAGAACGCCATTCAGATGGACCTGCCAATATCCGAATTGTCCTTTAACGGAATGCTAGAACACCAACCTTGCTCCCTTTGGTGTTTCATTAACTCTTCCATTTGCAAAGACAATTAACTAGGAACTCGGCGAATCAGACCTATTTCTTGCTATGGAAAGCCATTATATTCACTCCATCACCTAGAAGGAAAACTAGAGATTCTCAGTGCCTACAGCCATCAGTCACATTGAATTCCTCATTTGCTTCAGTCATACTGAATTCCCTATTTGCTCCCCACAAGCAATTCAAACGTTCCTACTGAACCAAACACCTGATGAATCATAAAGAAACAACTTACTCTTTTCGCCGCCAGACGCTTAGCTTGCCATCCAAGTGTGCACAGTACAAGAAGTCGCTGTTCGGATCCGTCAACACATCCAGAAACTTGGAGCAACCTCTCGGCAGGGAAGAATTGGAAAGCGCAGTCTCATACTGCAAATCGAAAACCACCAGTTCTCTAGGAAACGTCACGAACAGAATGTGCCTCCACTGCGGCGAGAACGTCAGCTTCACGGAGTACCGCGGGAAGGCGGCCGCCGCTGGCGTGGAGGAGGAGGACGATCCATTGCTGGCAGCATCCCTCTCGAGCTTCAGAAACTCCGTGCAATCGGTAGGAATCCGAAGCACCTCGACCACAACCTCGTCCTCCGCTTCTCCCAGCACCACGATGGAGAGCAGGAAGCCCTTGAGTCCAATCACGCAGCAATGCCGGGGATCGAACGGATCGCGGCGGACGCAGGAGAGGAGCTCGGGAGTCGAATCGTACTTGAAGAAGCAGTGGCCCGTGGTGGCGTTGTAGAGGGAGAGCGTCGAGGGGCCGGAGATCGCCGCGAGGATGTAGGCGTCGGGGCGGAATAGGATCCAGCAGAGGTCCTGAATTCCGGACTTGGAGGCGGAATCGGAGGAATCGAGCCAGAGGAGGACGGATTTGTGGCGGAAGTCGACGAGCGCGATCCGGCCGTGCCGGTCCCCGACGGCGAGGATGAGGTGGGAGGAGGACGGCTCGGTGACGAGGAGGTCGCGGCTGAGGGGGAGGGGAGTCCAGCGGACGGAGGTGACGAACGGGGAGAGAGCGGCGGCGGCGGCGGAGGCGGAGGAGGAGGAGGGGGAAGAAGGGGCGGGGAGCGGGATGGTGGAGATGTGCTGGAGGGAGCGGGAGTCGACGACGGAGATTGAGGATCCGGATGGGAAGGCGAGGAGGCCGGAGGGGGAAATGTCGACGGAGCCGAAGTTGTTGCGGGACGGCGGGCCGGGGAGCATGCATTCCCATGGGGAGGAGTCCGCCGCGGGATGCGGCGGCGTTCCGGCGAGAGACATCCGTTGTTTGTCTCGGGGGGAGACGAGGGAGGTTATGGGAGGAAAAATGGCTGGGGGGGAAGAGAAGGAAATCTGTTATGTGTCGGAGTCCATGGCCGCTCCGTTTGTCTCTGCTGTCGTCTCGTCGTACGTCATATTGACTTTTGTTGCTCCGGATTTGGCTCGTTTTCACAAGATTCCAAGAGCCAAAAGTTTCAAATTAGGGAGGAGGAAAAAAAATGAGGATATTATGAACCCAATAGGCCCGGTTCAGTCAGGCCCAAAAGAGAAACGGGCCATTATTTCTTTTGGCCCGCCATATCCTCTTTCAGGAAGTTTGGCCTTTTTTTATATAGTGCTAAATGAGCCCAGACTCTCAAGACGACGGGGTTCGGTTCGAGAAAAGCTTGTTTGGCACTCGGCTGGTCTACTAACGAGTCGAAGTTGAATCATGCTATTTTAATCTTGCAAGTCTCACGAGTCAGTGGCTTGTTGAGTTCAAGTTGTGAGCTATTGAGTTCACGAGCTCACGCATAATGTGGCTAGTGAGTCAGTTTGATTTTAGTAACGACTTATGAGTCAATCGATTTATAACTTATGAGGGGGGCGAAAATGTATACGTTATGAATTGGTTTGTTGATAAAAATCAATTTTTTTTATTATATATTTTTTTACTAGATATGATGTTTGCTAAAACCATCAATTGATTTGAGATCCAGCACCCTGTATTCCCGGTCCGCCCCAACGGGAGGGTACGATTTAGAAAACGTTGTCTGGCGTAGTAAAGGTTCCTTTTTTCGTTGGCTCGTTTTCTAAAATGCATTTAAAAAAATTATTATTATTAATATCACAGAACTCACAAGTCACAACTCATGATAATCTCATTAACTATTAACATACAAATTCGCCACAATTTCAAAATACTTGCTCAATATGAATGATAAAAAAAATCTGAACTCATGTCACAAAACCCATCGTCATGGTGTGATGCGAGTCGTCGTCAGGGAAAAAACCCCTTGTAAAGAGCAAAGCTAAATACCTAATAATGTCGTCCATTTCACGAGCAAGCCTAAACAAAATAAGGACATAATTGAATTTGCGATTTAATTCTAAACCGAACCAAGCCGTACCCACCGAAGACCGCCCGCATACTATGACCTAATCACATCATCATCATGATATGTATTCTACCTTTCACTACCATATTGTCATTGTGGAACTAACCAACCATAGTACAAGTCCTTGAATCGACATTAGCTATGGGTGGATAAAAACGGGTAGCTCCAACTCCAAGTCTACCGGCCTCTCAAACTTCCGGCAATTATTCGGGCCACCACCAACCCTAATTAACTCTTTCCTGAAGAATCCAATCCATGAAAACGACAATAGTGAAAAAGAACCCTACTTTGTTGATATTTTTGCAAAGATATTGTTATGGAGGAAGGGCCATACCCTTTTGTCCTCTTTGTATAGTTTCCTATGCAACCTAACCCTCTTTGTGAAATGTGAAGTGAATGGACTCCATTACTTTGACCCCTTTTCTCATTTGTCCTTATCTTTTCTCTGGCATTGGTGCAATGCATTCCCCTCACCACATGGATGACAAGTTGAGAGTGAGATGAGCTTGAAAACAAAAGAGGTTATGGTTGATCTGCTTGTTGGATTTGAGTGACGGATTTGTCATCCAGTTTTCGATCATGATGAGTTTGAGCAATTCTCTTGTTTGCTCGATTGAACAATTGGAAAGCTAACTTCGTGGAGTGGACTGGACTACACAGATTTTGATGTTGGAATTGTAAATCTCATGTTTTATTTATGATTTCGTTTAGGGCAAGAAAATCTTGGTACAGAAAGATATGAGTCTATGATAAAATAATTAACTACATAAACAATGGGCTCCTTCAATTACATAATGCATCAGATCTGCGGTGGATTTTCAAAATTCAAAACTCTTGTTTTCAAATCCGACAAGCAAACCACTTAGAGGTCGTCTGGATGAAGAAAGTACTTCATATCACAATTGATGTATCATTTCAAAATGCTTGCCCCCTCCCCTATCAATTCAGATTGATGCAAAATGGGGCACTTCAAATTGTCTCGGCCCGACTGCTGCATTCCAAATTTTCTGTTCCCCAAACAATGAAACTTGATACAGTTACTTTATTTTTTGTGTAATTGGGTCAAATTATTTCATCCGATTTTATCATCTAATCCACCCATTAGTTTAGAAAGTTTCCTAAAGAAGGGATTCCTTTTGATTGATAGTCACCAAAGTGAGAGGGGAAAAAAGTGAGAAAGCTCTCATCTCATCATAGTACCAAGTTCATGTTATCTCAACTTCCCCCACCCCCAAAAGGGATTGATGCAAAGCAAGGCACGATAAACCCTTTAAGCCATTCTCAAGAGCTTTGACTTTCAAAAGGTTACTAGACACTTGGCTGATTGTAAATGTAGGTACTATAAAAGCGTAATCTGACATGATTTGGCTAAGTAATCAACTTTAAAACACAATTATCCTGTCTTGGAGTTGTTATAATAGAATTTAACATCCGGCAACTACATATATGATGAACCTAATGAATATGATCACGAGATTATGGAGAAGCAATCAATCAAACTATTAAGTTCTCATGGAAAATACTTTTGTTAAAGTCCATATTTCTATCAATTCAAATATATAATCAAATCGCTGATTCATTTCTCGAAAACTAAATTTATGATTAATTCTCGGATTTCTACATTGTCCTTTCATTGTGAAATCTGCATTCATCGAGGCTCGAAAATGAATTTTATTAATACAATATGTGATAAAATCATTCATATCTTATCTATAACTAGTCAACAACAATGAACAAAGGCACAAAGGAGATAATCGAAGAGCCAAAAGGGAGAAAAAAGGAAGAAGATTTCACGCGCTTTACTACTAGTGCTACTCAGTCCACTCAAAACAGCAGAGCTACGAAAACCGACAAAAGCGCGGCGGCCGACACTCCGGCGAGGGACGCGGCGGAGTTGGGCGACGGCGGGGCCATGTCGCCCGAACCGGGAGACGGCGACCCCGATGGGGAAGCACCGCCGGCTTCGCCGGTGACATTGATGGATAGCTGCTGGCCGGCGGTGCAGTGGCCGGGAATTGCGCAGAGGTAGAAATGCTCGCCGGGAGTTGTGAGCGTGATTCTGCTCGGCGGCCTGCTGTCCAGAGATATCGGATTTGTGGTGGTGCACGCCGCGTAGGCGTCGCTCGTCACCTCCGCCACGTTGTGAGCGCCGGCGGAGTAGTTGAAAACTGCCGGCAAAAGAAGTTCACAACGTTAATTCCCAATTTTAAAAAATTAGTATGATAATTGAAGATCCCAACAGCAATAAGCATGTGGGAAAATCGGGGAATTTCGATTTTAATATCACAATTAGTTTAATCAAGTACTACTTAGTACTTACCGAGGACATCGCCGACCATGAAGTCCTTGCCGGCGGCCCAGCTCTGGAACAGAGAAGCGTTCCTGGGAATGTTCCACCCGAAAGAATCCGCCACGGTGTAAGTCATCGGCGGCCTGGCGGAAGGACCCGGCGCCGACGACGGGGAATCGCCGGAAACAGGGGAAGTCGACGGGGTCGGAGCGGAGGCGGTGGAGGCAGGGGAAGGTGCGGAGGCAGGGGTAAGAGCTCGGCGCGGAGCAGGGGAAGAAGAAGCCATGGGCGCCGGAGAGGGAGCAGAGGTGGAAGCGAGGACGTTGACGGTGACCTTCTGGCCGGCGCTGCAGTGGCCGGGGAAGCCGCAGATGAAGTAATGCTCGCCGGAGGAGTTCAACGTCACTCTGGCCGGACTCGTTGTCGCAATCAGCATCGGGTCGGATGCAGAGCAGGCATCGTAGTTCGCCTTGCTCACTTGCGTCACGTCGTGGATTCCGACGGCGAAATTGAACACTAATTGTGAGGGGGGGAAGGGGGGAAAAGAGAATTAGAATATTAAATTCGCTAATTCAACGCCTATGTTGTTCGTAGTAACATCAATTGAAGTTTAGTGAACTCACCGAGAATGTCACCGACGGCGAACGAATTGCCGGAGGCCCAATTGGTGTAAACTGAATCGCCGCCCTGAGGGATGGTCCAGCCGGTGGTTCCGCCGACGGTGTAGGTACTCTGAGCAGCAGAGCTATGAAGAAGAGCGGCAAGCACAATTGCTGTGAAAGCTAAGGTCTTTGTTGTAGCCACCGCCATTGTTGTGTTCTCTGAGGGAAGGAAGTGGTCGCCCCTGTTCTGTTAATGGATGCTCTGTTTTTTCTACAGAGAAGTGAATGAATGTGCGGTGAGGATTATTAATGTCCGGCGAATTTATATAGAGCAATTTTGGTGTGTGGATGTGGGCCGCCGATGGGCGACGCGTGGCGAGATATTTTAATGGACGGTGGAGATGGGCGCTGATTCTTCTCTTAAGGCGGCAAGAGGATGTGACCGGTTCGTTTTTGGGTTTCCGCGTGAGAGAAGCTATTCGGTTAGTGACTTATGGGTCATGGCCTCATGGGTCAGCTTTTTTAATTATTGCTTGGTCTTTAATAGTCATCAATTATGCACACATGTTTACCAATAAGACTGTGACTAATTTACCACTAAGAGGACTATTTCTTCCATAATATTTATGTTCATATTTCTAGAATAGTTTGAATTTTGGAAGAATTATGGGCATCGTAATAACATTAACTACCATCATAATAACATCAAAGTCGGCTAAAAATTGAGAAAATTTACAACAGAATACTAAGTTAGTGAGCCAACGAGATAAAAGATTCATGAGTCTGTAAGTCAGTATGGAAGTCTACTTTCCCTAGAGTATGGATGTTTATTAAGGTTAGCTCGACCAGATCTTTTGAGTTAATAGACTTAATATCACGCAGAGGAGACTTGAGGCGTACAAAATTGAAATACGTTTTATTGACCTAATACAAAATCACATAATTTGTCTATATCGCGATTGAGAAGACTTCTTATTTTCATATGGAGTAAAGTATTATAAAATTTGAGATCTTAATTATCCGATCATCAGTAACCTGAAGAACTAATGAGTGCCTTGTTGGTTGATTTCGAATGGAATTACCGAACCAAAGACAATACGAATTGATGATGTTTGTTTGAGGATGATTTGAGATCGATGACTCAACTAGAAAGTAGGACTTTTTACATTATCATGTCGATCAATGGGTTTTTGCATGGATTGCTCCCCACAATGGGCCAAGTGATGGATCCCATACAATTTAATTTCAAAGATGTTATGACTTATGAGAAGAACGGATGGGTGAGTATTTAGAGGTGATAGAGAAAGTGGGTCTTTGATGATTTGAGCTCCAAAAAAAATATTTTTATTAATATAATGTGTGGATAATCAATTTATATAATAACTTAGAACAACACGCTAATACAAATACAAATCAAGAAAGATAAGTAAAGGATAGCCAAAACAAAAATATCATAGTCCCGATCGATCAATGTATCATTTTTAGCCGTTCGATCAAGAATTTGGTATGAACTACTCGAAACGCTTCAAAAGAACTTGTAAACGAGCACGATGCTTCGATTACGAATTCTAAATTTAAGATGTTTAACTTCAGAATCCGACGTTATAATAACTCGACCAAACTTGTATAGATCACATGTTTGGGCTAAAAAAAATTCCTTTTATTAATACAATGTATGTGAGAAATCAATCTATATATAACAAACCAATAACCAACACACTAATACAGATCTCAAAAAGAAACGCGAAAGAAACAAAAAGTATCACGTCGCCGACTGTAATAAGGCATCTCTATTCTCTACCGATCACTCCATTTACAACAAAAGAGCTGCGACAACGGACAAAAATGCGGTGGCCGATACGCCGCCAACGGTGGCGGCGGAGTTCGGGGACGGCGGGGCCATGTCACCGGCGGTAGGAGACGGCGACGAGGGAGTGGTCGACCCTGACGGCGATGGGCTGGTGCTGCCTGCGCCCGAGACGTTGATGGAAAGCTGTTGGCCGGCGGAGCAGTGCCCGGGAATCGCGCAGAGGTAGAAATGCTCGCCGGCGGAGGTCAGCGTGATTCTGCTCGGCGGGTTGCTGTCCAGAGAGATCGGGTTGGCGGTGGTGCACGCCGTGAAGGCGTCGCTCGTCACCTCCGCCACGTTGTGTGCGCCGGCTGTGTAGTTGAAGACTGCATAGCAAAAAATCAATTCACAACGTTAATTAAAAATTGTAAATCTCCCAATCAAGAAGCTTGGCATAGTAATTAAGATTATAATATCACTTATCATCAATGTAGTCAAATCGCGTTTTAAAATCGCGTTGTAATCAAAATCTCCACTCCATGGCGTTTTAAAATCGCGTTGTAATCAAAATCTGCACTCTAAAGCTTACGTTTGTATGATTATATATCACCAAAATACTTCCATATATAATCTCAGTTTTGATTGCATTAATTATTATTAATTTAATTAAGTATTACATACCAAGGATGTCGCCGACCATGAAGTCTTTTCCGGCGGCCCAGTTCTGGAACTGACTCGCACCGCTCGTGGGAATGTTCCACCCGAAGGAATCGCCGACCGTGTAAGTCATCGGCGTCCTGGCAGAAGGAGACGGCGCCGACAACGGGACATCTCCGGCGACAGGGGAGGTGGATGGAGTCGGGGCAGAGACGGTGGTTGGAGCAGGGGATGGAGCAGAAGCAGGGGTGAGAGCCCGGCGGGGAGCAGGGGAAGGAGAAGGAGGCATCACCATGGGAGCCGGAGAAGGAGAAGAAGAACCAGTGGTCGAAGCGAGAACATTGACGGTAACCTTCTGGCCGGCGCTGCAGTGGCCGGGAACCCCACAGATGAAGTAATGCTCGCCGGAAGTGTTCAATGTGATCCTCGCCGGAGTATTCGTTGAAGTCATCATCGGATTGGACGCCGAGCAGGAGTCGTAGTCCGCCTTGTTCACTTGCGTCACGTCGTGAGCCCCAGCGGCGAAATTGAAAACTAAATTTCAGAGAAGGAAGAAAAGGCACAAAGATCAGAACTTGAATTCAGCACTATTTCGAATTTCGTGCTCCTTTTTCCTAGTTAAAAACTAAACTCAGAGTCTTACCCAGAATATCTCCGACGGAGAAGGAATTGCCGGAAGCCCAGTTGGAGTAGACCGAATCGCCGCCCTGAGGGATGGTCCACCCGGTGTTTCCTCCGACGGTGTGGGTAGTCTGAGCGACGGAGCTATGGAGAAGAGCGGCGATCGCGATTGCTGCGAAAGCTAACGTCTTTGATCTCGATACCGCCATTGTTGTGTTCTCTGAGGGGGAAAAAATTGGTCGCCCCTGTTTTTTGTGTGGATGCTCTGTTTTCCTTTTGCTCTGTTTCTCCTCTGTTTTTCTTGTTGGAGAGAAATGGTTTGTTGAGGTTCTGATTTGGGTTCACGGCGGGGGAATTTATACTGCGAGGTGGTGGGATATGGCGCGGGGAAGGTGAGCCGTTGGATGGATGACGCGTGGCGGGGAGGTTTTGAAAGGGCCGAATGAAGGGTGGAGATGGGGGGCGCTGATTCTTCTTGTTAGGCGGCCGGGAAAAGTGACTTCTTTGTATTTCCGCGTATTCAGATTTCAGGGATTTCAGTTTTTCACCAAACACGTGTGACTTTTTGGGTTTATGGGTCATCGGTGTTGTTGACCTCATTGATTAAGGGTAATTAATGGTCTTAATTAACCGTGTTTAAGAAAAAGATCGTGAATTACACGATAGGAGACTTCTCCCTTAATCCTTCCATGGTAATTTGAGCTATGAGATCTTGGAAGTAAGAGACTTTGTCAAGCAAGCATTAATTGCTATGGCATTGTTATTAATCATTTAGGGTCACTCGTAATGTCGAGTTACACAAAGAAAATTGAGTTGCACATCAATTAATAAGTCTTTCTCCAGCTCGCATGAACTTCTCACTCATTATTTCGTGATAGGAATGAATGTGCTAATTTGTATTAGTTAAAGATTGATAGGTTCTAGAAACATTACAATTTGTCCAGTACTAAAAACGGAATCAATCCAATCAACAACATAGGTGCGTAACGTGAGCCTATAGGGAACATTTATATGTTGGCAAGATATATAATTTGTTGCGTAACAGGTATTTCTGATTCAATCACGTCGAAATTAACGTACAAAGTAATTTTGTGGAAATTGATAACACATTCTTAAAATCTTTCATATGTATGGAAATTCGGTGGAAATGTTTGCTAAAAGGGTGTGGAAAGACATTGAAGGATTAGTGGAATGGAATGTTGTGCAAACATTACACCATCTATAAAATTCTTATTCCATATGCTAAAAAGGTGGTAGAAAGAAATATACACTAATAAAAAGGTGATTCTTCTTTCTCATGAATGACATGAGCCATGTAACATTCCTATTTCAGACAAATAAAATCAATATTGACAAAGAATGCGTTTTCCACACAAATTGGTAATTTATTATATTTATTTTTGTCAAATTGGGCTATAAAATGATGTAAGAACCGGTCCACTTAGAAGTTTCCCAAGGAAAAAGGAGGAAGAAGAGAAACACGGAATGTAAAAGTCAGGAGCTTGTATTATAATACTGGATAATAATTTTTTTTTAATTTTATAAATCTCAATGCTTGTGAAATCGTATTGTATAGAATTCTAAATTGAGACAAATTTTTAATTTTATCATCATAGATTTCAGGTGATTTTCTCGAAATGTCATTTTCTTTTGATTTTGAATGCTACAGATCAGTGATTTGACTCGAGGTTATTCTCCATCGATGGTGAAGTCTATGGAACCTATTCTCCGCCTACGATTAAGTCCATTAGGCAACAATTTGGGAGAAATACTTTTAGGATGACATTTTCGTAAATTTTAGGGCCGCTTTTTTTTCAAAGGTCCATTTTACTTGAATTTTGAAGGCTAAATTACAGATTCGGCCTAAGACTATTCTTCAAGGATGATTAAGTCAATTAAGCACCGATTTGAGCGGATTTATTCCGGGTCAATTTTTGTCAGATTCCAAAGGGGTATTATCACAGATTTCGGGCAATTTTCCCGAAATGACATTTTCTTTCGATTTTGAAGGCTACGGATCATGGATCGGGCCAAAGGCAATTCTCCATCGGTGGTGAAGTCTATGGATCCTGTTCTCCACTGACGATTAAGTCCATTAAGCAACAATTTGGGGAATTACTTTTAGGATGGCATTTGCGTAATTTTTTGGGAGATTTTTTTTCGAAGGGCAATTTTACTTGGATTTTGAAGACTTCAGATCGCAGATTCGGCCTGAGACTATTTTTAAAGTATGATTAAGTCGATTAAGCACCAATTTGGGAAGATTTATTCCATGTCAATTTTGTCAGATTCCAAAGGGGTACCATCACAGATTTCGACCGATTTTCCCGAAATGCCATTTTATTTTGATTTTGAAATCTATAGATCACGGATTCTACCAGAGGCTATTCTCGACTGATGGTGAAATTTATGGACCCTGTTCTCCACCAACGATTAAGTTCATTAAGAATCATTTTGAGGGAATTACTTTTAGAATGACATTTTCGTAATTTTTTGGGTGATTTTTTTAAAGGCCATTTTACTTGGATTTTAAAGGCTACAGATCACATATTCGGCCTGAGACAATTCTTCAAGGATGATTAAGTCCATTAAGCACCCATTTGGGCAGATTTATTCCGGGCCAATTTTTGTCAGATTCCAAAGGGGTACCATCACAGAATTTAGGCGATTTTCCCAAAATTTCATTTTCTTTTGATTTGAATGTTACGGATCAGTGATTCGGCCCGAGGTTATTCTCCATCGATAGTGAAGTCTATGGAACCTATTATCCGCCTACAAATAAGTCCATTAAGCAACAATTTGGGGGAATTACTTTTAGGATGACATTTTTGTAAATTTTAGGGCAATTTTTATTAAGGTCCATTTTACTTGGATTTTTAAGGCTACAAATCCCAGATTCGTCCTAAGACTATTCCTCAAGGATGATTAAGTCAGCACCGATTTGGGCGGATTTATTCCAGGTCAATTTTTGTGAGATTCCAAGGGGTATCATCACAGATTTCGGGCAATTTTCCCGAAATTACATTTTCTTTCGATTTTGAAGGCTATGGATCACAGAGCGGGCCAGAGGCTATTCTCCATCGGTGGTGAAGTCTATGGATCCTGTTCTCCACCGACGATTAAGTCTATTAAGCAACAATTTGGAAAATTACTTTTAGGATGACATTTTCGTAATTTTTTGGGCAATTTTTTTTCCGAAGGGCCATTTTACTTGGATTTTGAAAGCTACAGATCACTTATTCGGCCTGAGATTATTCTTTAAGGATGATTAAGTTCATTAAGCACCAATTTGGGCGAATTTATTACGGGTCAATTTTTGTCAGATTTCAAAGGGGTATATCATCATAGATTTCGGGCGATTTTCCCAAAATGATATTTTCTTTCGATTTTGAAGACTACGGATCACGGATCAGGCCGGAGGCTATTCTTCAATGATGGTGAAGTCTATGAATCTTGTTCCCCACCGACGATTAAGTCAATTAAGCAACAATTTGGACGAGTTACTTTTAGGATGGCATTTTCGTAAATTATTGGGCGATTTTTTTTTCCCGAAGGGCCATTTTTCTTGGATTTTTAATGCTACAGATCACAGATTTGGCCTGAGACTATTTTTCAAGGATGATTAAGTCCATTAAGCACCAATTTGGGCGGATTTATTCTGGGTCAATTTTTGTCAGATTTCAATGGGGTACCATCACAGATTTCGGGCGATTTTCCTGAAATGACATTTTCTTGAGATTTTGAAGGCTACGGATCACGGATCGGGCCAGAGGCTATTCTCCAACGATGGTGATGTCTATGGATCTTGTTCTCCACCGACGATTAAGTCTATTAAACAACAATTGGGGGGAATTACTTTTAGGATGACATTTTCATAATTTTTTGGGCGATTTTTTTCGAAGGGCCATTTTACTTGGATTTTGAAGACTACATATCACAGATTCGGCCTGAGACTATTTTCAAGTTTTATTAAGTCCATTCAGCACCCATTTGGGCAGATTTATTCTAGGTCAATTTTTGTCAGATTTCAAAGGGGTACCATCACAAATTTCGGGCGATTTTCCCGAAATGCCATATTTTTATTTATTTTGAATGCTACAGAACAGTGATTCGGCCTGAGGCTATTCTCCACCAATGGTGAAGTCTATGGATCCTATTCTCCGCCCACGATTAAGTCCATTCAGCAATGATTTGGGGGAATTACTTTTAGTATAGAATTTTCGTAAATTTTTGGGCGAATTTTTTTTCGAAGGGCCATTTTACTTGGATTTTGAAGGGCGAAGGCTACAGATCATAGAGTCGGCTTGAGGCTATTCTTCAACGATGATTAAGTAAATCAAGCACCGATTTGGGCGGATTTATTCCGGGTCAATTTTTATTAGATTCTAAAGGGGTACCATCATAGTTTTCAGACGATTTTCCGAAATGACATTTTCTTGAGATTTTGAAGGCTACGGATCACGAATCGTGCCAGAGGCTATTCTCCACCGATGGTGAAGTCTATGGATCATGTTCTCCACCGACAATTAAGTCCATTAAGTAACAATTTGGGGAATTACTTTTAGGATGACATTTTCGTATTTTTTTGGGCGATTTTTTTTCGAAGGGCCATTTACATGGATTTTGAAAGCTAAAGATCACATATTCGGCCTAAGACTATTCTTCAAGGATGATTAAGTTCATTAAGCTCCAATTTGGGCAGATTTATTCCGGATTAATTTTTGTAAGATTCCAAAAGGGTACCATCACAGATTTCGGGCGATTTTCCCCAAATGACATTTTCTTTAGATTTTGAAGACTACGGATCACGGATCGTGCCAGAGATTATTCTCCACCGATGGTGAAGTCTATGGATCCTATTCTCCATCGACGATTAAGTCCATTAAGCAACAATTTAGGGGAATTACTTTTAGGATGTCATTTTGGTTATTTTTTCCGCGACTTTTTTTCGAAGGGCAATTTTTCTAGGATTTTGAATGCTACAGACCACAGATTTGGCCTGAGACTATTCTTCAAGGATGATTAAGTCCATTAAGCATTGATTTGGGCGAATTTAATGAGGGTCAATTTTTGTCATATTCCAAAGGGGTACCATCACAGATTTCAGGCGATTTTCCCGAAATGACATTTTCTGGAGATTTTGAAGCCTACAGATCAAGGATCAGGCCAGAGGTTATTCTCCACCGATGGTGAAGTCTATGGATCCTGTTCTCAATCGACGATTTAGTCCATTAAGCAACAATTTGGGGGAATTACTTTTAGGATGGCATTTTCGTATTTTTTTGTCAATTTTTTTCGAAAGGGCATTTTACTTGGATTCTGAAGACTACAGATCACAGATTCGGCCTGAGACTATTTTACAAGAATGATTAAGTCCATTAAACACCCACCACCAGTCCACCACCACCATCAACTCTCTTTGTTCTTCGTCTTGCCACGTGGTCGCTGATTACTTGTTCGAGGATGACATCAGCTTCCGAATGGAGCTTCTTCAGCTTCCTCTCCGTCCCGCTCACTAGATGCACCAAGTTACTGGAAGGGAACAAGTCCCACAGGCTCAGCCCACCAAGTGCCTTCATAATCTGCTCCAGAACCGGCAAAAAGGCTTCCTCTTGGTTTTGGGCCTTCTCCCCAAAGGCCGTGCGGCAAGTTATCCTATAGGTTAGGGAGAAGAGCGACTTACTCAAGTTTATAGCCTCGTCATGACTTCCATAATCTCCGGCGTTCTCTCCCCCCGCTGCAGCTTTTCTCTCTCTCATGGGGGCGTTACTACGCAGAAGAAGACAGGTTGGAGGAAAAAAAAATTAAATGAATTTTTCATAATCCCAAAATTACCCCTCCCATTATTTAATCATCCCTTCCCTTATTTCCACCATTAGATCAATTAATATGGATCCAATGGCTGAGGGGGGCTTAGCCAAGTGACTAAGCACCCCACTAGTCACCAGATCTGCACTCATGGCAGAGGAGTGGGGCGGAGGGAGTGCTGCAACGTCGGCGACTGGGGTCTGGGAGGCGAGGAGGACGCGAGGCGGACTGGGGCGGAGGGTGCTGCAACGCCGGCGACGCGGCGTGGTCGGAGAAGCAGAGTCGCGAGTCGCGACGAGAAGATTTGGAGAAGGAGAGGCGGCGGGCGAACTGCGAAGCGAGAGGCAGGTGGGTCTGGAGGCTTGGCCTCGATGATTTTTTCTAATTAAGGGTTTGGGTAAAACGTCGCGTTCCAAGTGACGAGGGCGATAAAACGCCGCGTTCCGGTTTCGGTAATACCGACTTACCGTCGGTATTTACCGAGACTGAGGGCAGTAAATTGGATCTCCCAAGCGGCCCTCGATTACCGAGTTACTGAATCCCACCCCTACCCCCAAACTGCAGTGACATTGGGTCATGGACCAATTGCAAAATTTTCTACTTTTTCCCTTCTTCTTGGTGCCAACTCTAATCCCTAGAACAAAATTCTCACAAATCATTTCCACTTTAGGGTGCGTTTGGATAAGTGGATTTTAAATGTAAGGTATTTGAAATATTAGCATTTGAAATGGATGTATTCGAAATATTAGCATTTGAAATACATGTAATTCAAATTCATTGTTTGGATACTCATTTGTAATTTGTTTGTATTTTGTATTTTATGATTTTCAATTTTAATTTTTAATTTTCTGGTCACTTACTACAAATTTTGGTAAATTACAGTTTGGTACCCAAAATTATTTTTTCTTACAATTTAGTACCTAAACTTTTAAAATTTTACAAAAAGGTCCTGAAATTTTGATGGTAAAATTACATTTTGGTACCTTTATATGTTTTGCCTCACACTATAGTACCTAAACTTTTCATATTTTACAAATAGGTCCATTCTTTTGTTAGGAGGTATTTCAAATCACTAGTTGTTGAAATGTATTTGAAGTTGACAAAAAATACACTAGACATGTATTTGGAAATCACCCCATAAATTTGACACAAATCCAAATACCAAATGTAATTAATATCCAAACACATGATTTGGTATTTGGAAATCCAAATCACAAATACCAAATCCAAATCCAAATCATTGTATCCAAACGCACCCTTACTAAAATGGTCAATATGATGCCATCATGCATGAAACTGTCCTCGTCAAAACAGTATAATATAGAGAAACTAAAGACTAACACTTTGTAAAATGTAAAAAAATTCAATTTTGAATTCTGCACAAACTTGAACAACCAAAGAGCATATCCGGGGTGGTCGACTCTCTCTTTAGTAGAGCTTTCTCTCTCTCTCTAACAATTAAGAGTCTCTTTTACTGTTTTGCTGAGTCCCTATATTCCTTGTGAAGAATTCTTGTTCGTGTCACTCAATCAATCTGCATCAGGTTCTGCTAGTCTTGCTGAGTTTCTACTCCTTTGGTCTCGCTTCTATTGTCGGTCTTCCCAAATGGCAGAGGAGCTAGAGCAGCAAATGAAGAACTTTAGCATGTCAGAGGAGGAAATAAATAAATAAATAGTATTACAGTGGAAGAAGCTGGTGATGTTGACACAGCGATAGAAAGTGTGGTGGAAGAGCTTGGAGTGATTGGTCTACTCCTAGGCAACAAAAAGCCGGGATTAAAATTCCTAAAAGATGCTCTGGTGGCTGCTTGGAAACCACAACAAGATTTTGATGTTCGCCTTTTGGAGGGGAATCGATCGGCTGGTATTCCAGTTTATCTCAGCAGAAGATAGAAAGAAAGCACTGCATGGAGGTCCATGGCATTTCGAAAATCAGCTACTTGTGTTGAAGCCAGTAGACAGGGGAAAGGAGCTATAGGAAGCAGACTTCAGTGAAACAGAGATGTGGGTGCGAATTCGGAAGATCCCAGCGAATTAAGATGCGAACTGAGAGTATGGCAAACAAGATAGGCTCAATCAATGTTTGGATCGCTCAAGATTTTTTATGCTCTGAATTCTGGTATGTGGAGTGAATATACGAGAGTAAGAGTTACTTTTAAGGTAACAAACAATGCCATTACGGCGAGGTGTTCTGCTAGAGGTTTATAATCGGAAAAGTTTGGTATAATGTAGCTTATGAGAGCTACCAAATGTTCTATATGGCTGATGAGATGGATTGTAAAGGATGGTTGTATCGAGTCCTAAAGAAAGCTGTAGAACATGATTTAGAGAGATTTTGTTCCCTCATTTGGTTATTTTGGAAGGAGAGGAACAACTTTTCTCTTTAATAATAAGATCTTGAAGGAATGGGAGGTCTTCTCTAAGGCAGACAACTACATTCAGGACTTTCTAGAGGTGCAGGGGAAGAGCAAGACAGTTTGCAGGAGTAGGGATAGGAGAAATTGCAGGTGGGAGAAGCCCCCAGTGGGAGTATATAAATTGAATGCTGATGCTGGGATAAATGGTAGAGGGGAAGCTGCTATGGGTTGTGTTCTGAGAGACTGGAATGGGAGAGCGATGTTTTATGCAAATAAGAGTGAAAAGATCAAGTGGCCAACTATTATAGCAGAAGGGAAGACTATCCTTTTTGGTCTTCATAAAATATTGGAAAGGGGTTTTGGCCCTGTTGTGGTAGAGACAGATTGCAAGAAGATTGAGGATCTGCTAAAGGGAGGAACAGAGTGTAGAACAGAAATCAATTGTGTTTGTAAGGACATCAAAGATATAGGAAGTACGGTGAATGTGATAGGATGGAAGTTCACTTTTAGGGAAGTAAATGTTGTTGCTCATTGGGTGGCTCACATTACTCCACCTGAAAGTGGAGAATATGTATAGGATGATTGTGATTCTGCCTTATTAGCTAATGTAGTTGCCAGTGAGGCCCGTGATTGAGTTCAAAAGAATCCAATGGTTTGTTTAAAAAAAAAGAGAGCATATCCAACATATCAAAATTCACATTTTACCCTCCAATTACAAAACAGCACCCACAAAGTGTAACATACATCAACCTGCCCGCTTATTCAAAATCAACAATTGTCCAGACTTCACCAAAAAAGAACTCCATCATCGATCACAATAGCAACTGCATTCTGACTCCACAATATCCTATAAAATCGTATGCTGTTCACTTGGTAACTGTTCATAAGCTGCTGTAATCAGATCTTCAGTTTCACATTTATGTACCAAATCCGCCCTATACAGTTTCTCCTGGACATATGGAAATAATATATGTCAACTCTTAAATTTAGAACTGCAAACAAAAGGAGCGAACAAAAGAAAGCACACCAAAACTCACAGTTTTATTCAGCATCCTCCAATGGAGGCATATCATCCTGACTATCATCAGCCTGCAAATCATAGCAACAAGGATATTTAGAGATTCCCAAACTGCAAATCATATTCAACATCCTCCAATGGATGCATATCATCCTAACCATCTAAACAGACTACAACTATAAAATCATAAATACAAATCAAAACCAAGCCACCACAAATACCTGATTGTCAACATTATCATTATGGTCATTCCCTAGCTGGAGCACGTGACCCTCAATGTCATCATTAACATCATTATCATTTGCAAGCTGAAACATCATTATCATTTGCAAATCATATTCAACATCCTCCAATGGATGCATATCATCCTAACCATCTAAACAGACTACCGCTATAAAATCATAAATACAAATCAAAATCAAGCCACCACAAATACCTGATTGTCAACATTATCATTATGGTCATTCCCTAACTGTAGCACGTGACCCTCAATGTCATCATTAACATCATTATCATTTGCAAGCTGAAACATCATTATCATTTGCAAATCATATTCAACATCCTCCAATGGATGCATATCATCCTAACCATCTAAACAGACTACAACTATAAAATCATAAATACAAATCAAAACCAAGCCACCACAAATACCTGATTGTCAACATTATCATTATGGTCATTCCCTAACTGGAGCACGTGACCCTCAATGTCATCATTAACATCATTATCATTTGCAAGCTGAAACATCATTATCATTTGCAAATCATATTCAACATCCTCCAATGGATGCATATCATCCTAACCATCTAAAGAGACTACAACTATAAAATCATAAATACAAATCAAAACCAAGCCACCACAAATACCTGATTGTCAACATTATCATTATGGTCATTCCCAATATCATCATTAACATCAATATCATTTGCAAGCTGAAGCATCTGATCCTCATTATCAACATTCTGCATAACACAGCAAGAGCTTTGATCAGAGTGTCAACAATAATGATTGGAATAATAAAAAGCTATGTAGTATATCCGACCATATTGACTACCTAATTTTCAATATATTCAAGTTCTGACATCTATAGCAACATTTAAACTTGAAAAGGGAAAAAAATGCATGACATAACCCACCTAAACTACCTGATTTCCATTGTTAGCAACATTTTCCATAGGAGGAGGGACATTAAGATCAAGAAGGAGACCCTCCTGCAAAATAATAGAAATTGTTAATATAATAGATCAACTAGAAAAGAAATCAAATGTTTATGAAGGTACCGACATAGACTAAATCATTTGCATTATTTGCAGTTTGGTGATCTACTGCATCTTCCTCATTAACAGGAGTGTTCAGATTTGGAAGTAACAGAGCAGTATTGCCCTGCAAAATAAAGTTGACAAACCAAGGTGAACAAGCACAAAATTAAAAAAAAAGACCAACATTAGGCAAGATAAGAAGAATTTTGTACGGCTACTATGATATATGAACACATAATCTATGGTTCATCAAAAAACACTTACATCACCCGCTTTAATCCTCTTGATCACAGACTCACAATCTTTCAGCTGTGAGTTAGCAGCTTCAATTCTCATAATAAGATCACGATTTTCATCTTTAATCTTTTGAATACGGGACTGCAATACCAAGATTGACACCTGACTGTGCTGATTACCAACCGCATTATTAAGAGACGTTTCCAAGATTGCCAGTTGGTTAGCATTGGCTAGAACAACCTTTTTCAATTGTACAAGTTCGTGGTGCAAATCTTGGCTGTCTGTAGCAGCCCTCTCTATGGCATCAAACTTCCTAGAATAAAGACAGATGAAATCTATCAGCAAACTACCAGAAACAGAAAGAAATAACAAAATTTAAATTCAGAACATATTCTCACCTTTTGTTAGACGTCCCAGTGAACTACCCACTGATAAGACCATCTCCATCCCTGCAATAGGATAGTAATTTCATAAGTGGACCCTACAGCCACATTAACAACTTTAGCAATTATTCACTTCAACCATTTCAAACCACCTACATCTCTGCAATATGTTAGCAATTGCAATTGATGAGACCTACTACATATTCTTTTCTTTAACAATACTTTTACATAATAGATAATAGACTTTTGAAAATTCAATAAACACAATATATCGCATACACCAAAAAGAAATAAAGAAAAATTACATAAAGAAATACAAAATACCAAAAAGAAATAAAGAAAAATTACATAAAGAAATACAAAAATAAAAAATAAAAATACAATAATTGAAGCATAAATTTGTTTGCTTTCTTGATGTAATATGAATGGTGTGTACTTTTAGTGTGATTTCTTTCTAGTTTTGTGCATGATCTTCATCATTAACTATACATCTTTATAATAAATTTTCATGTTCAATATAATTAAAATATAATTTATGATTTATAATTTATTAATAACTTAAACAAATTATAAGCATAAGAATATTAAGTTTAACAATTTGTGTGTTCAAAGTGGGTAGAAAAGAAAGAAAAAAGAAAAAAAGAAAGATTTTGAGTGCATAAATAAGAAATAAGTCTCACATCCTTGCAATTACTTAAAGCCATTGCCACATGGGATCCCACCCAATAAGCAATTGCAATAAGCAATTGCAATAAGCAATTGGATGGAGATGGTCTAAAGCTACCCGTCTTCCGGAAAACAGTATTCAGCCTAGGTAATAATATCACAGTTAGAGACATAGTATAGGGCTATAGGCAACTATGTTAAATCTCCATAGAAAGGATGAAAAGGAATATTAAGTTTTGACAATACCAGTTTCATCGAAATTGACAGAAGAGTTACAGTAAATAAAAAATATACTACACTACAGTAGGGATCAATACAAGGAACTTTTGAAAGATTTAGGAGCTACGACAGAGCACTAGATTAACAGAGACTTTTGAAAGATTCAAAGAGTCAAAAGAGCAATCTGGCACTGAAAGATCCATGAAAGTTAAACAAACTTTTGAAGAACCACGAACCCGATTTAGAAGAAACAGAAAAAAGATTCTACTATACCTACGAATTAGACTAATATTCCAAACAAACAAACTCAAGATTCTATTGTACCTACGAATTAGACTAATATTTAAATTCATAGGTGGTACTTCACTTTACAAAAATCGTTCACGTTTGGTCACTCTCAGTTAGCTGCCAACCATCTCCATTAAAGGAGTCCGTTAAGTGATGACGTCGCGTATGAAATCGTCTAATCGACACTACTAAATTCGAAAATAATCTGACCCGACCCGCCAAGTCATTGAAACCCGCCAGCTCATCTAAACCTACTGAACCCTCTAACCAGATCCAACCCGACTCACCAACCCAACTACCCACCAAAATTAAATCCCTAATTCTCCCATGTCGCCGATGCGGGGGCAGACGACCATCGACTTCAAGCCTCAAATTCAGCCCAAACATCTTTACGAAAAATTATGTTTTTATAGCTTGTATTTTTTTCATTGCTTTATAATACACAGCCAATACTATTACTATTTCCTACCAAAAAAAAAAATACTATTACTATGTAAACAAAAATAATCCAAATTTTGAATTCCAAATCTCAAATAAAGATTGTCTTGTCCAAAGGCAATCCTAGATGAAGTTTCCAATGAAAGGATTCCCAAGCAGTCAAAATTGACTTTGGGCAGCGAACTTTTTTTTTTTTTTTTGACAAAGGGATCTTTATTGCACTTTGAATAATTGGTTACAAAGAGAAAATAAAAACTTGACTTCAAACCAAGATCAAGGAAACAATGGAACACAGGAGGATACCAAACCATGCTAAGACAATACAACCAGTGGAAGCACAACACAGACTGACATCACTCAAAACAAACAACCAAGTTCTTGAGACAAAGGCAGAACATTTATAATCCCTCTTTCTTCCAACCACACCAAGAGCAAGAAGATCAGAACAGCTTGTCCGATCACAGCGAGATCCATGGCATTGGACTTAGCAAGCCATTTGCCGTCTCCTGGGGAGTGCACAAAGTCATCCATTACAGTGAATGTCAAAGAGATTGCCTGACGGTGGAAGAGGCTGTGAAACAGATTGCTCCAAGCTGTGAAGGCAGAGGGGGCCAAGGTATAGAGGATCGGTTCAAAGGGGAGCAAGCTTCCAAGTAGATCCACAGACCACCACAAAAGAACCGACTTCCACCGCAACAGCCGGAGATGACTCACCTCTTCACGATCCGACAACCATCCAAGCAACAACACCACCTTGGGGAAGCCAGAGGGGGGAAGATGAGAATGGCTTCACCTTGCAGATGAGACCACCAACCTGGAAAGAACAACCATTACAAAGCAAAGGTCAAGCTTCCCAAGCTGCAACCTCTAGATCCTCAAACGAGCAAGCCTTGAACCTGCAAAATCCTAGATCTGGAATGCCAAAATGGCTGGAGAGACTGAAATCTTGAAGGTGAAAAGCCTAGAAGCAAAGGCCAGAAGATCGAAAGCAAGCAAGCATGAAAATCGATAAAAAGGAGAAATTTGGGCTGTCGCCGGTCACCTGAAGTAGCCGGCGGCAGCTATTGAAGGCTGGAAAAGGAGGCTTTCTAGAGAGAAGGGAGAGTAAATTTGAAAAAGGTAAAGTTAGAGAGGGCAGTGAACTATTGATGGGAGCTGCATTGCCTTGTTGCTTTCCCTCAAGCACAGAGTCAGGTCACATCTCAACGGCTGGAAAACAGTCCACCGTCCGGTCAAATCAATTCAGATCATATCCCTTCCCTTCCGGTCTCGGGGACAATTAACAATTACCTTTTTTTTATTAAAGGGAGGCAAATGCCACGGTTACAAGCAGATCAGCCTGTAACACCCTAGTTCGGCCGAGCACTACTTTTATCAAATTGTTCTCGAGAAATCAAAATTTATTCAAAGCAAAAGGAATGATTTAAAATATCATAAAATAATTTCTAATCACCATAGGAATATCTCGTTACAAAATCATAAATGAGCATCAGTCTCAAACTTACTAATAAGATTACATAAGTGAAAGTGGTTCAATTAGAAACTTCTGAAATCACTAACCCTTGCGACGATGACATCTCGAGCAACAACTTTATCTTAGTCGATGTCTGAATACTCATGCTTGCTTGCAGCTCCTGAATGCGGGCGTTGGGGTAAGTCCTAATCCTATATTCCATTCTTTACATATATAATATAAAATCAAGCAACATGCATATGGGTGCAAATGCGATGCAATGACGTAGTACATTATCGGGAGTACATTATTAGGAGTTCTTGAACTTGTAATTCTTGTTCACTTTCTAGGTATCTTGCATATTTTATCTTATGGCGGGGCCCTTACCTCGGCTTAACTGGCGCCACTGCATGCTTAACATGAGTTATGACCACCGCGTTACGTATCGCCATCCGGTTGCATACCTAAACATGGGCAATGGAAACTGCATTACGTATCGCCGTCCAGTAGTGATCCATCGTGAAAGTGGCTAGCTAAGCGAGGTTAACTTGTTCTTACTTATTAACTTGTTGACTTATACATGCTTGCCTTAATTAATCTCTCACCCAAGGATAAATATAATTAATTCGTACTTGCTTACATACTTGAAGAACTTACTGATGTCCAACACAATGGGAAGATCCAACTTAATAACTTGCTTAACTTAGTGAATTGACGACTTTAGTCGAGGAGTCTATGGTTCAATCTCTTTCTTCGGCAAGACAAGCACAATCTGGAATTTGGCAGGCTCTTATGTGGTGTCTCCTAGTCTCATTACAAATAGAGTTTTTTTGACTGTTTTTGCTTGCTGCAGTAGTACAGAGTACAGAAACGTTGTGAGGGGTGGCTGTTGGGGAATTTGGGATGACTATCCCGCTTTCGTTGTATTAGTCACTTTCAGAAATAAAAAGCGACTGATTCAACGAAGAAGAAAAAATCATAATTTCCACCTCATTATTACCATAAATTAAAAAATAATTCAAACAAAAAAAAAAGTCACAAACAATGTCTTTGTCTCTCACACTGTAAAAAGTGCGAGCTTCTTATGGATCTGGAGTCTCTTCCCTCCGTCTCACGCTCTTCCTATCATGATAATTAAAAGACGCCATAAGAACTGTCACCAAAATTTTCCCCTGTTCCCAAATCCCTCATAAACCCTAGTACTTTGTTAGGGGTTGTTCCCCCTCTCTGATTCGCGGAATTTGTCCTCCGATGGAAGCCGAAGAGGAAAGGAATTCAATTCCCCCAACCCCGCTTCTTCGGAAGGAGAGGACGATTCTACTACCCCTGCAACGGCCACATCGACTACGGAGTGCGAGTCAGAGGATTGCGCCGTCGATGAGCCTGAGTGCCGGACGGAGGCGGAAGGGTTGTCTTCTGATTCTCATGAACTGCCTCCCGGCGACGGCGATAGTGAGGGCACAACCGCCGGCGAGTAACCAGGGGGTGATGTGCTCGTTGAAAACGGAACTTCTGGAGGCGAGAAAGGTTCAGAAGAGGAGGTTGCGGTTAAAAAAGAGGACAATCCTGATTTGATTGGTGGAGAGGAAGAGAGTTGCAGATTGGCTGGAATGGCAATGTTGATTCACCCAGGAAAATGACGGGGAGGTTGTTGTGAAGGAGGAAACTGAGAGTGGGGCGGCAGAGACTCAAGCAATGGAGGAATTTGTGATGGTTGAGAAAGTTGAGGAGACGGAGATTGAAGATGATACGGAGGAGAAGAAGCAGAAGGATTTGGTTGGGGAGATTGGATGATGCTCTTAAAGAGAAAGATTAGTGAAAATTATTAAAATGAGGTGGAAATACTAATAACCTCTCTGAAAAAAATTGGACTGTCAATCCTTCTGCATATGAAGTCAAATAAATAGGCTTCCTTGCGTTCTTATATCATACAGAATGGAGCCTCTTATCACATTAAGTTAGGCACAACAAATGCCAGAGACATCCATCAAACAAATTCCCAGGTCAACTGTCCTGAATCGTTATGGAATTCACCTGCAGCAAAGCAAAAGTTGCTAGCTCGATCAACTAGTCGGTATGATACGATTTATGTCGCCTGTTACAGCTCAAGTTCCTCATCAACCACAGCATTAACCTTTCGCACAGCAAGGTGTGATAGAAAACTGGTAAGCAGTGATTCTATAATTCACCCAAGTGTACACTCTTGCCAGAGAGCTAAAAACAATCAGCCATATCTCTAAGAAATATGTTATCATAGCAGGAAAATCCAATATTATTTTGGTACGTACTGTTGAAGTTTGACATGAATTCGTATTGCATCTGTATACCTATCTGAACTCTCTTCCCTTGTTGGTCCCCGAGTGCCTGATTTACAAAGATGAATTGTTTCCTGAACATCATTGTCTTAACAACAGAAGCAATACCAGGGCACAGATTGTCCAAACCAACTGATACGACCTCAACAAACCTTGAGCTGGAAAACCCTGCATCAATGAATATAACCCAGGAGGGTGGAGACGATGAGCTAATGAAGACATACAAGGACTGCATTCAGAACTAGGAGTTCTAGGTATTGTCAGTATGGGGAATGAAGAGAAGCAAACCGAGAAAAGGGAAGATAAGTGTTTACCTTCAATGAAAGAACTATTGAATAAGCAGAAGAAGATTTAAGCCCTTTGTACCCAACATCATAGGCAATGCTCCCATCCGGCTTGAAGAGGCCGAAATTCCTCTCAGAAGTCGGACCAGGCTTCAGATTCTCGTTAAAAGTAGCAAAAACATATGCCTTCACCACGTTCTTCGGCCTCCTAGGAGTGCCTTTCTTCTTCGCCAGCCTCTTACGCAGGTTAAAATTGTAAATCCTTGCATTCTCTGGGGTTGCAGCAGCTTCATTCCCGTCACCCTTAGAAGCCCACCCTGTCTCCGTCACTATAACTTCCATCTTGTCGAACCCTGCATCTTCCAAAGCTGCATATGCAGCATCTATCTGCGCATCAAGCATGTTATCATAGTGCAGCTCAGTTTTCGGATCGAAGATCCCTTTCGTCTTCTGGAAAAGTGCATAGTTAATGTCGATGCTGGCCGGATCGTTCATGTAGTCGAGGAATGGGTATGCGTTCAAGCAGAACGGGGATCCTGCTTCCGAGAAGAACTGCAGCAACGACTTCATGTACTGAGCAATGTTCTCCCGGAATACACACGAGGAAGGAGGGTAGGAGTTGGAGAAGACGGCCTGCGAGTGAGCTGTGGAGACTTGAACTGCATCCGATAACCCGAGCTGGCTTAGAGCGCTGTGGATGTTCTTGACTGCACCTAAAAGAGCACCATAGAGCTCGGCATCGCTTCCTCCTAAAACTTCATTTCCTATTGCCACGCCACATATTCCCGGCATGAATTTCTGGACGTTGTCTTTGACCCAGCTCAAAGCATTGCTTGCATTGCTGCTCATGTCTTTGATAAATCCATTGGGAAGCCCGATCACGAGCTTGAACCCTGCTCCACTGAATGCAGTGAGCACGCTGTGGTCAGCATCAAAGATACGAACATTACGTATCTTTGCTGACCGGAGAAGAGTGACCACTTTGTCGGGGGATGGAATGTTGTCAGCGAGTCTTCCATAGTTTATTCCGTATGTTCCGACGAATGCTGGGTCTGCTAGTGATGCTGTAGCACATGAAAAGATAAAATCAACAACAGTAACACATTAGACCCTGGCAAATATGGTAAGAACAGCAGCAGAAAATCTTAGGCAAAGCCTTAAAAAGCTAAGGAGAGATTGGTGCCTTGGAGTATCCACAATTCCACATACTTGGGACTACATTTATGGCAATCAAAGTGGACAGAATTGTCATATTTTCTTCACTAGATGGAATTTAAGCTTAATTCCACCGCTGAATTCACTCATCGATGACCCAATTATCCCTAGAGCAATCTAGTTGAGTTTTCTGAAGCTGTGTTTTGAATTGTGTATCAGCAGCTTTGACTTGCTAACTAAAGAGCAAGTGAAGCTTATCAAGACAAGTAGACTATCACACAAAGAGCAATATTTAGACCTCAAATTGACCCGAGTCCACAAGATTTCAAACTATTAAGAACAGAAAAAAGATTGATTCAGAAAGGAAGATAGCGAGGGAAAACCAAGCTCAATCCACCAATCAATCACCAAAAGAACACAGAAGACACAAAGCAATCGTGATCACGAATTCAATCAATCTATGTACAGAGAAAATCTAGGATCAATCATGTTGAAGAGTAATCATACTACCAAAAGTAAGCAAGTAAAAAATTCAAAAAGGGGGGAGCAGCTGATTACCCATTGGACCAAAGAAGAGCAAGAACAGAATAAATCCAAGTTTATGGTGCTGACTCATTGCAACTATACTGGGATTCAGAAGAAAAAAAAAAAAAGAAACTGATCCTAAGTTTCAACTTCAACTGTTGAGGAGAAAGATCTTTTGAGCACAAACCCAGAACCCAAAACAGCTGCTGCAATTCTTCTTCTCCCCCACTTTATTCCTTCTCCTCGTCTGCTGCTGATTGTGGTAAGGTGGTGATGGCATTCCATACGAGTAGATAAAAGAAAAGATTCCAACTTTCACTCTCTCTTCCACCAGCTCAAATCACAAGGAGAATTTCACCTTGGTCTTCCCCATCAGCTAGGTTCTGTGCTTTCTTTTCCCCCTTTACCTAATCTAATCTTCCACTACCCCTCTCTCTATCTCCTGAGATCCTGATCTTTCTGTCGACGTGATATTCCGAAGGCCCAAAAAGGGCATAACTAAGAATTTTGTTTATGGCGGTCGTTTTCTCCTGTGGGAAGGAAAATGGGGAAGAGGGGGAGAGAAAGAGAGGGTTTTGGGCTTCGGGGTCTGAACTTACTCTCTATTTGATTCTGGTGGGTTAGCTTATTAGCGAGATTGATTAGTGAGTTAATTACTTATTAAATTGTCGTTTCCAAGTTTTTAAATATATTTTCATCCAGATGTCGTATGGTAATTGAATTTCTATTTTTTCAGGTTTGTGTTGATGGGCTATGTCGGATTGGTACGAAAATGGTTAATTTTCATATGAAATGGATGAGTTACTTCTAATTACTGGTGTGCGACCTCACTACACATTACACATTCAAGTGCATCTCGGTGTGGTTTTATCATCTCAACGATTGTAGCACATGTTTTAGTGCATTTGTGATATATTTTCTGTCATTCAAATTTGGGGTCCGAACATTTTCCTCTCTTCTCAACTCCTACTCTCGGGTTGGATGTGAAGAGACCCATTTTACCACTCGTTAAGCAATGTTAAAGTTTTTTATTTGAACTTATCTCCATTCAAAAGCTAAATATGATTAGATCGATAAATAGTGACACACGATCGGGTTGACAGACTATTTTGAATATTGACTATATTTAATGGAAGAAGAATAATTTTGATATATAATTTGTGGGTGTGCATTTTGGGATGCTTTTTCATTATGGGGCCTTATTTCTTTGATGAATCATCATCGAGCTTTAGTCAAGGTGATGAATGTGACAAAATTAATAACGCGTGGAGCCCAATCAACTTCACCGTACAATGACAATGGATGGTGCATTAGTTCACACACCAACCCCTCTTTTGTCTAACCTAATATTCATTGTTATAATTTGTAGATAAATATTTTGGATTTGATTAGTTGCAAAGTGTTTCGATCCCATAAAGAAACAATTAGTGTGAGAATTAATAATCTAGAGTATACATTAATTAATTAGGTGTATTGATCTCAAAGTTCGAATTTAGAAAATGATGAATGTTGTGTGATTCTCTTAACTAAAGCAATTGCACCAATGAATTATACATTGTTACTATTATATTGTAAAAATTGAGTGTTCAAGTAATATTGTAAAAATTGAGTGTTCCAATTAGTGGTTCTTATTTCTTAATGTTGTTGGTAGTTTAGAAGACAAAAATCTTATCACCCTCAACTAAATGATATTTTATTAGTTGAAAACTAAAAGAAGCCAGGGGAAAAAAGTATTATTTTAATTACATTGCTCTTAGCTGTTTTGTAACAATCACTTAAACACATATAAATAAATAATAATATTATTGCTTTGTCCAGTTATCCCAATTTATGCTTTGGCTAGTAGGTGAAGGAACCAACCTACTTGATCAATGTCTAATTGTTTATAGAGAAATTATTTTTTTTTTATGATGGAGAGGTTTTGCTTTGATAAGCAAATGATATTTGGATATATATATATATATATATATATATATATATATATATATATATATATATATATATATATATATATATATGGTGGCGTCTTCGGTGTACTCACTTTTTTTAGTGTATTCAGTGCACTCGCTTCATAGGATTTAAACATAGGATTTATATCAAAATTATGTCAATCATCACTTATGATGTATGAACAATAACTCACATGAATTTGCACAAAAAACATTGAAGATTTAATTTAATTTGAAGGATTTAAAGTTTAGAGATTTAGGGCTAGTGTTAGGGTTTACAATTTGGGGTTTAGGGATAAAACTCAAAATTGGAGGTCTAGGACTTAGGGTAATCCGCTAATTTGTTGTTATCATATGTTATATCATCATATTACACTAATTCTGCAAATTAAAATTGAAAATCCGACACCCTAAGACTAGTTTTTGAGTTGGGTGCATTGAACGCAATCATTTTTGTGAGTGCACCGAAGTAGTCACCATATATATATATATATATATGGATACGACTCGTATGCTCCAGACGCATAGTATGCTCCAAACTTTTGCACCATTGATCTAATCTAACGTCCATTATTAAATCTTAGTTAATTTATTATTTATCAATAATTATTAGTACCCATAAATAACTATATAATCATTATAGTACTCCAACAATTTTAACATTATAATACCTTATTTCGTACGTATGTATTTAAAGTACCCGTATTTGTTAAAGTTTTGTCAATTTGAAACTGTTTTCCATGTTCCCAAAACACCATCACCACTTCCAAAGCCACGATTCAGTCTATCTGATGGTACTCCATAATTCACCCTTAGTTCCTTACCCAGCAAGCTTGAACATCAAGGAGAATGAATGAAGAGTCGGAGTTGCTCAAAACCCTCTGCTAAGTAATTTCTTTGATCCCGAGATTGAAACCACTTCTGCTCTTCTAGATTGTTCAATTTCGTTTTATACAGTCTGGTAATTTCATTTTATACTGTCTGGGTCTCGATGACGATACCATGTCGGCGAAGGGAATGGAGCAATTCCTGGCCAATATGCTCCCAAATTGGCAGCCAGTTCCACCGGTTTGAAGGGATTTCACTGGATTGGCGCAAACATTTAGGGCAGACTATGAGGGGCAGAATTGATTGTTAAGGTGTCACGAAATAGGAACAACGATAAATCTGATACTCTGTTTTTCTCGGCCAGAAGCCTCTCCTCTGATACGTCAGATCTCTGCCGTCCACCGCCACTGTAAACCTTGTCACCGCGAAAATCATGAATCCGGGAGGGAACCATAAGATTTCCTTTAACCAGTGCTGAAATATTCTAAACAGAGAAGCTATGCTAGCTAACCCATGAAGATTTGTCATCAGTGACCACACAACAAATAGGCCACCGAATAAATCAACCCAACCAGCTTTGCAGAAATTTAAACTCTGTTGCATGTAAAGGAAACAATGAGACGACCAAACACTATTGTTTACAGACTGAAGAAGCATCAAAATATAATTTCAGAACTAACTATTCCCATCCCCAAATTCCTCAATTTATTTCCTTTTCTTTAGACATGAACATGGAGTACTTTCCTGATCAAGCTTATGCAACCCATCATGCTCTTCCATAGAAAATGACGAAGCATAGGACAACAACAGATCAAGGAATTGTAATTTTTTTTCCAAATTGCTTCTTCTGTAGTGAATGCTAATGCTAGATTAATGCCATGGAGAGCCATCCAATCAAACTTTTTCTGTCATATTTTCCAGTTCGACCACTAAAAAGTATCTACAAAACAGAGGGATATCAACATGCAGATTCTACTGACATTAACCAAAAGATGTTCTCTGGCAAAAAACTTTTACCTTCGCACACAACACATTACCAGACACGAAAATTCACCGGGACCTGATGGAAGCGACGAAATAACATCGGCGGCGGTCTAGGTGGCTACTGGCTACGAATTTAACTTCTCCATCTGTAACTTCCTCTCCCCTTACCTTCTGTTCTGTCACCTTGCCTTATCATTGCCATCAATTTCGCATTCACATAGTTGACCTTAGAGATTCTTCGTCAATCAGCACTTCCCTCCAGCTCTTGAGTCGGCAAATTTTCACTCACATCCTTAATCGACGAGTAGAAACATGCACTATCAGACGAATTTACAGTCGGAGAGACTTATAAGAGGCGGAAGAAGTGGTCTGATCGGCGATGGTTAGATGGCTTGGAAGGGGTCTTGATGATGTTCAACGGGAGAGAGGATTGGGTTCGAGCATAAGGAGGGCGGCGACTTGGGTGTTCATAATTAGAAGAAATTATAAAAAAGGAAAAGAAAACTTTGTTGGAGGACTAACGAGCACAAATGAAAATGTTAGGGAACCAATTAATTATCCTTAACACGTAAATTTTAAATAATTTTATATGTATTAATACAGGCCGTCAGATTTAATCAATGGTACAAAAAATCTGGAGCATAGTATGCTTCAGGAGCGTACGATATATATATATAATTTTTTTTTCTTTTCAAGTTATTTATTTTTGTTGAGTTTGTGTTAGTAAAAAATATACAATCTATAATTGAACTTTTTTTTTTTAATAACTTGAATCACAGGGAACAAACGACTAACCAAGATAGACGACAATAAAACATATAATTAGAGGTGGCAAAAGGATTGATTCATGGATTGGTTGATTGGATTGGTGGATCCATGGATCCAATGGATTGGTGGATTCATGGATTGGATCAAGTGAATTGGTGGATTATCCGTGAATCCAAACGACATCCTCAACCATTAATCAAGGACCAATATGTAAAATGTGAAAAGTTTAGATACTAAAATATCATAATGAAAAATTTGCCATTTGGATTCATGGATCAATCGATGAAATATGAATCCACCAATCCAATTGGATTGGATCAAATGGATTGAATTAGGTGAGTATTTTTAATGGGTTGGAGATTAAGTGGGTAATTTGAGAGATGGCCACAGATGCCCTAAATAATTTGAACAAATTGACTGGTCTTGCACACTAGGCATCACATAGAATCCCACTCTCACCATAAAACCTTATCCTCTCAACAAGACAAACTTCCAACCTCTCAACTCTCAAGTCTCAACTCAAAAAGGATTCGATATTTGTCCTCCAAACCAAACAATAAAAACCCAAGAAAAAGGAAAATTCTCAGAACAAGAATGGCAACTCCATTCCTCTCAACTGCAAACGCCTTCCTCTCCCCATCTCTCCCTTCCTCAACATCAGAATCACCATTACCTCATTCCTCATCTTCTTCACTAGCAGTTCTACAGCCCTCGAGGACAGCCAAGAAGCTCCCCAATTTATGCAGAGCTTCCAATGAATCCTCATCAGCAGAATCCCCTGATGTAGTGACCAAAAGGAGAAGCTTAGCGATTTTCCTAATCACTGGCCTTGCTTTCTCATCACTGCCCAATGCAGCAGACATGAATACTTCTTCTGCTAATGCTGCTATACTGGAAGCTGATGAAGATGATGAACTCATGGAGAAAGTGAAGCTGGACAGGAAGAGGAGGATTGAGAGGCAAGGAGTTCTCAACTCTGCCAAGAAAGAAACAGGTACCCTTTTATTTTTCTAAGTTAATTGACCCTTACCCATATGTGGAGTGAAGTAAAGTTTTGATCTTTGATGGTTGTGTTAGTAATTTGTTGCTTCCAGATTGAGTGAACTGGATGTTGAATTTTGTGACAAAGGGGGTTTGAACGTTGGCAGGGTATTTGCAAGATGTGGTTTACAATCTGAGTAAAGTAGGCCAAGCTATAGAGAACAGTGACCTACCTGCAGCTGGTTCAGTTCTTGGCAAAGGGACCAATGCTGATTGGGTTCAAAAGGCCAATGTAGCCTTTGCCAAGGTATCTAGATAATGATCAATGAGAAACCCACTTCACAGTTTTGAATGCTTCCCCATTTTTACCAAAAGCATCTTCACTCACTAATTGATTCTCCTTCGATGCTAATGCAGTTGAGCTCGGGCCCTGAAGAGAAAACCGAAGTGGACACCTTCAACTCCTCCCTAGCTTCATTGATTTCTTCAAGTGGGTTGTGTTTGCTGATCATGAAAGTAGAAGTTAATCAAATCAATATGAATCCTTTCAAATTAAACAATCCTTTGTTGTGATTCTTCTGCAGTTGTTGGCAACGACATCGAATCCTCGAAAGTCGCCTTCTATGCATCAGCCTCAGCTTTCGAGAAATGGACCACCTTGACTGGCATAATTACACAGCTCAAAGGGCTCTGAATATGGCAAAACACACAAATTGGCATCTTCATTTTCTAATTGTCCATCCATTCAAAAGGGCAATCCTTTCCAATTGCGACTTGCGAGCATTGACTGTATGTGAAGAGCAACCGAGTCTTCCTGTATCTGCATTTTATACTTCTCCGATTTTGAGAAAGTTGTAACCTCCGGCTAGAACTTGTTTGAGTTACAAAGTTCGGCTCTACTTCTTCAGTAGGTAGTAATGCAGTAAGAGTTTCTCACCTGAAATGGTGAAAAGTTAAATTCCCACAGAACGCCTTGCGTAGATTGTGAAGGTAAATTACTCTGAATCAAATCACAAGCAATGGATGGATGACCAGCATTAAATCTCTAGTACAGAGCTTATTCCCACAACAGCAGTACATAGCAGTAAACCGACAGCATACAACTGTTACAATTCTTACTTACTACAGGCTAACAAGTTGTGTCTGTCTTTCTTCCTACTTAAGTCTCTCCCTGAGGAGATTGCTACAATGCACACCTAATCTGCAGTTATATCACACCACTGTCTGAATGAACAATCAGAGAGCTGATGATGCTAACTCCTTACAACATTACGACTACTACAGTCATCCAAAATACTCACAAATGCCTAAAATGGTCAGGGGGGAATAAAGGGGTGGTGTAATACATTAACAAAAGAACAACCACCAAATGAAAGCCGTCAACAAGGAATTTCATCATCAGGTAGCAGTAGCAGTAGCAGTAGCAGTAGCTGTAGCAGCATGACTGCCGTTCTCAACTGATGCTCCTTCGACTTTCTCAGTTGGCTGGCTGGTGGTTGTCTCATCCAGTTTCTCAGCAGTCCCATTTGCTGCCGCCGCCTCTTTGTCCTTGGTGGATTCTCCTTCAGGTGCCGGTTCCCCTTTGTTGGTTTCTTCTTGTTTCTCCACCCCTTCAACTTCAGTCTTCTTCTCCTCTGCAATAGTTGCTGCTGCCTCAACCTGTGGTTGCTCTTCCTTTTCCTGAGTCGTCTCAGCCTCAGCATCAGTCTTCTTTTCACTTTCATTCTCAGCCACTGCATCAGAGATCCCCTTCTGCTGATCTTCAGCTACATCAGCTTGCTTCTGGGGTGGAGCTCCATCAGCTGCATCCATCTTTGCATCGGGATCTTGTGCTTTTTCTTCACCCTCTTCCAGATTTTCCTTAACAGCATTTTCTTTGTTTTCTGCCTCGGTATCGTCCTTCCCAGTTCCTTCGGCTTCCTCCATATTGGTGTCTTTGGCCTCCTCAGTTGCTTCATTGCCAGTTCCTGTGTCTTTAGTTTCCTTTTTGGCACCTGATGATGACCTCTTGCCACGCTTCTTTGGGGGCTCCTTTTGAGGGGATGGGGTTGCCTTAACCTTCTCACTGATCCTTGCTGACCGCCTTGGGGTCTCACCAGTGCCCCAATCAAAGTCAGATGCAGCTGGGCCACCAGGGTGTGCCTTGAGATACTGTTCTAACTGTCTTCTACCAGTGATTTCCTCCCCAGTTGGGGCAATGAATGAGATTTCACTCTTCTTCTTGGGGAAGAACTGAAAAGTCAACAAAAATAAGTGGAAGTGTTATGTGCAGCACAAACTCCAGTCATGATCATGTATTCATGTTACTGCATTATCAATCACCACCGTCATAGATGTGCCAGGATGAGGTAGCGATTTAAACTGGTGAATGAAAATCAACTTTGAATAAATTCAGAAAGAGGATTTATATGAAGGAAAACCATAGAAAGAGGCAGAATAGAGTCAATAGTCTTTGCACAGCTACAAGTTAAACATCCTTTGAATAAAAGCGCGAAAAGAATGATATGATGGTAGGCTACCAAGTTTATAACATATATGGAACTCATAACAAAGAAATTGATGTGAAACATGTTTAAAAATCTGTAAATGTATGCAGAAGGTTTATAAAGTTTTCTTGATATAAAAGTTCAGGTTAATCATTCAAGGTATACCAAGACAGACCCGTCAGCAATCAAACAGTCAAAAAAAGAGAGAAGAAATCCAGATTGAAATATTGAAAAGATCAATGTTTACCTCAAGCAAAACCAAAACAAATATTAATTTCTGTCATTTGACAGAGAAAGTCCTGAACAACTAGCACTGTTGATTTGAGTACCTCCAACCATCAGACCATCCCTAGAATGAAGTCATCTTTGTATTCCAACCTTTTTCTTCCTCTTGTTCCTACTACTATTTCATAAGCTCTACGCAAACAAACAATGAAGCTCTTATCATATATGTCACCCACACCCCCAGTATAATTGCTATAACGTACCCTAAGCAGCGAGTTCAGCCTCTTTTCTCCTTAGCTAATTGTTCTGCAGAGCACTGGGCAGTTCAAACCTTATTGAAGCTAAAACTTTTCGTCTTACACCACCAATTCACTCAAAGTGCCAAACCATACCCTAAAGCCACAGCAGCCAACTAACTAACCCTAAATTTTCAAGGCTTCCCCAATTCTGTTTTTGTTGATCCATCCAATTATCCTGGTCATCCCCTAGTGAGATAGAATATTGAGCATCTTCAACTAGATATGCATTGGCAAATTACTCTTGTGAAAGGAAGAGAGCAAAAAGAGAGAACTTTTACTATAACTAGTACCCTGCAAATAGCTAAATGGATACGGGAGTGTACCAGAACAAATTCAGGCACAAAACGTCAAAAGCCAAAGGCTTCTCCTAGCCACTGAACTAAAAAGCACTAACATGTATAGTTCGTTTAACCTCCAAAGCTCTCACATTGCCATAACTATCTCCCAGTTGCAACAAGCATCCCTGTGGCAAATAAACCCCTCAATGGAAACCATCAAATTTCAAGCCAAAAAAAGGGGTCTTTCATTCATGCCAAGACCTAGAACAAGTGAACAACCCTAATTCGCCCCAAAAAAAAACCCCTAATTGTCAAAACAGGGGAGAAAGGGAGGAAACCAAGTACAGTAGGAAGAAGCGGCATAGTTATTCTCACAGAACCACTCCCAACAACCCCCCACATCGAACCGAATGAAACCCTAATTTTCTAATTGCCCACACAGTGAGCCAGTTGAATTGAAATTAGAGCCAGTCAAATTCATACAAACAGAGAGGGAAAATTGAAGAAGCAAAAGAGGCCAAAGAGAGAGAACCATCTTCTTCCAGCCGGAAGGAGCAGGGAGCTCGACCGAGAAACCCTCGTCCTGGACAAGAGTATTGGTCTCTTCCTTCTTCTCCGCCGAGTTCGCCATGTCGGTTCTCTTGCAAACCCTTTTTCACCTAACTTCCACCCACAAAAGCACCAAAGCCAGAAATTAATAAGAACCCTTTCGAACCTGCACCACCAAGAGAAGTGGTAGCTAGAGATGGGGATAGAGAGAGAAAGAAGATATAGAGAGAGAGAGTTCAATTTTACCCACCAGAAAACTGCACGCAAAAGAAACACACACAAACAGAGAGAGAGAGACCCTCAAAAGGATATTTCGAGAACAACACTAGCGCACAAGCAGATGCCACACAAGCTCAGCTGAGTGAGCCAAACCCGGAAAACAATAACAAATAAAGATTTAATCTTTTTGATAAAATAAGAACAATATATGAAGTAAGCTTTAGCAGAGCAGAAGAAGGACTGAAAGGAGGGAGTTATTCTGTCTCTTTCTGGGCTTTATCCGTTTGATTTTCCCATTTTTGTCTTCTCTTTTTCCTATTTTTTTCCCGACGAGAAAAAAAACAGAAATAAATTGAATGGTGAAGGCGAGATGTCGGGAGGAGGACACTTGTCGCCATCTCCACGGCCGACCCAACGGTTGGGATTTGTGCTTTCTTATTTCGTCGGTGACCGTTCGCTGCCGCAGCGTAGCTTTTTTGAAAACTTGAACTAAATTAAATAATAAATAAAAATAATCCTATTGGATCGAAAAGCTTATGTTAGCCAATCAGCTGCCGATAAATTTCCAAGTAATTATAATTTTTTTCTTTCAAGTGTATGGGTCATTAGGTTTGGGCCATTTGGAATGCAACATGGGCTTACGGATTCGTTTTGGTCCGTATACAGCTGCCGGTGGGCTGGGCTTTATCTCCATTTCTCACCGAAATCCATCAATCATTTCAATTCCAAAGCCGCCAAAGGGAATACGATAGAGCAAACCGTTGCTCTTGTCTTGTGTGGTCCAGAGTGGCCCGTTGCCAAGAAGAGGCCCAAGTACACTAGTTACGTTGCGTGGTAGTGGGCTTTTGATTAACGTAAAAGGCATATGGCCCGTATGCACATGGAGTGGAGCTTGAGAAGGGGCAATGTCAAACATGGTGTAATGTTGAAGAAAGAGGGGTAGTGTTGAAGGTGTGTAGATAATTAAGAGGAGAGATGAAAGAATAAAAGAAGCTCTTGTTCTGGAAGAACAAGAAAAAAAAGTGTTTGTGTTGGCCAAATGAAGCAGGTTCGAGCTTAGATCGTTAACATAACACGATGTTAATTGGATCTGCAGGGCAAATGACATCCACCTCTCGCACCTAGCGTTGTACAACAAAGACGGATCACAAGTGGTAGTCAATTCTTGGAGGCTGAAGAGAAGACAATCTACAATACTTATGTGCTTAGCAAGAAATATATATACATAGTCATGAAGATTACTAGGGTTGGTAACTTGGTATAACTAGAAATCTCGAGTCATGTTTAAGTCTGCGAGCAAAAGGTTATAAGGCCAATGCATGCTTCTACTACAAACTCTTAGCCTTTTAGCCACCTAAGATTATCGAATGAAATTTCGATTTTTTTTTTTTTTGCTTAAAAGGTAAGTCACTCTGGTCGCTCTTATTTTCCCTCAACTTGATTTAAACGTTCGAGAGTCGCTTTACAAACCCTCGACATTCCACATGTTATGTATCCATGTATGTGGACAATATGTAGCTAGGGAAAGTTAGGCAATGGGGATGGAGAGAAGAGAAGATACATGGATAGTTTCGAAATTTAGATGCCAAGTCCAACATCAAGAGCTTTTTGTAGGTGAGACAAACAAATTGACCATGCCACATCTCTAGGTCTTATAACTTGAATATATAGCTAAGCTAACACAAATATATGAATATGCACGCATCCTCTTCTTGACCCATCACCGTCGATCATTGCACATTTGAGCCGCATGCAAGTACTCTCTGATTATCATCACTCACCCAATTAGCTATACCATCTACAATCAATGAAGTTTACATAACGTATAACCTATCCACTTCTCCATCTACATGCCTAATTGGTAGGCAGGGTTGCCAGTTCGGTTTTGGGTTTTCGATTTAAACTAAAGCTGAACCGATAAGGTGTTTTTATCGGTTAAAATCGAAATGATAAGAAACTGAAAATTTCAACCCCAATAAACAACCATTGCACAATATGTTTGAGTTTCGGTTCCTTGAAACCATGTCGAACAATTAAACCACCTAATGGTTTGGTTCGATTTCGAGGGAGGGGCTTGCTTCGATTTCTTGGTTTCTAGAATTACGGTTCGGTTTAACAGGAAGAAAACCGATATCCCAATCCTATCAGTAGGCTCATTCGATCAATCTGCTAGCTAGATGGTTACTACGATTTAAGAGTTCGGATCAACTATGCATTTTAGCTTTTGGGTATGTGACAAGACACACAATATGGTGTCCATGTCTAGCTAGTTGTATGCTAAACTTAACTAGGTAAAGTGATCAAGAGGCAACTATATATATAGCGACGTCTATGACTTAGAATAGTTAGAAAGAAACTATACATCTCATTTGATCAGTTGGTAGGGAATAGTTGAACCCAAATGGGCTTAAGCTAGTCCCTTTTGATTCCATATGAGGAATAACGACATTTAATCCCATATTTGTGTATCTTCTTCTTTGTGGATCGGCTCCTTTGCAAAAAGATTTGAAATGACACACATTTCATGCATTTTTATTATTCGGGTCGATTACATAAAGTACGATCACTCATGTTATTTGGAGTTGCTAGCATTTAAATTTCAACAAATTGGACACTAATGGCTCTACCAACTAACCGATCAATCATTTCGTTAGTTTCCATCCAATCTGTAGCCCAAAATAGCTACATCGTCAAGACAATGTCGTCGGCAAAATTAAATATAAGAAATCTCACACGACTCGTAATACAAATCCTAACCAAACCCTAATCCGGTTTGACCGGCAACCCGCCCACCAATCCACACTAACCGATCTACGATAACATTTTATTGTTATCTTACCATAATTTATCGTATTTCAGCGACCGAATCAATACGACGCTTTATCACGATATTATCACAAGTTTTCTTAAAGATGCCTTAGACCAAGTGTCCTATCTTATGATCGAGCTCCATCGGTCCTTCAACTTTTACAATCCGTGAAAGTCACAAGATGTGTCATTCTCTTCCATTATTTCCTTCGATCCCTCTTTACATATTTTAGTGTCTCCATGGGCTTGTCGTCTCGCCCTTTTACTTGCTTTCCTTTTTCAAGCATATGTCGTTTCTGGGAAAACAGTAACACAAATCTATCACCAATTCATCCAACCCGGCCGACACGGACCAACAACCGTGGGAGTCAATGACCATACAACAAAAGTTGGAAAAAAAACTTTTGCATGTTCGATCAAAAGCCCTCATGGGGTAAATTTCAATTTTAGTCCTTGTCATTCTGTACACAAAATTGACTAGTTTCGTAGTTCTATGCTTACATGACCGAGTCATATAAGACCGTTGAAATTAGTGGTTCGCGCGGTCCAATTCGATTCTAATAACAACGACGTCAGAATTTCGTTCATGAATAGTCATCTGTTTCACGAGTTCTTATCACGGAACTCGACATATGTTCTTAATTATCACAGGAAGTCTAATTAAGCTATGCGTAATGAACTTGTCTCTTAATTAGCAATTCGTGCAAGGTACACATTTTCCTGTCGATTCATATAGACTGTGTTTGCACATGTAGATGCGCTTGTTTAGGGAGACAACATTTACAAGTTTCGCCATCATGGGATGGGGGCTCTGCTCGGAAAGTGTAATTTCACCAAGTGTGGGAGATTCATGGTATTTTGTTCTTTTATTATGAGTTGCTTGTTGAGGTTCATCATGAACCCATTTGACCAAATCGAATCACCGTTATGATACATCGTGAATCGGGATTGAGGATCTTATTGTGTCATTATCATCGTTTCGACGTTAAACGATCATAAAAAAGAAATATTGATACCTTGATGAGAAGCAGGCAGTCAATTGATAAGATAAATAAAAGAAGGCAATGTCTAATGAAGGAGAATTTTAGGTTAATAGTATAAATTGCTCATCGATCTACTACATTTGTGTTCTACACTCCTCCTCGTCCATCAATGGCGAGCAAAGGTACGTATGTCTTCATATACACGTTGGTCCCCGTCGGCATTGAAACACGATAAACTTCCAGATAGATTATCACACCAGAACAAGAGGGTAAAGTTAGAAAACAGTTATGTCGAAGACGAGCTACACATTTTCGTACCGTAGTGAAAAGGCGGTGGTTAACAATAAATGGGCGTTTAGCAAAACAAGAAAATGGTGGTGGGGGATGGCCATGGCGATTAGAATTCATTGCAGAGCAGACAAGGAAAGGGACAGAAGCTTGAATGGGCAAATGCCAAGTACTCTACTGATGATGATCGCCAAGTTGGGTAAGTAATCGCCAAAGTTGAGATCCTAATAATGTTTCTCGACCGCTTTCTCCCCATCCTCTCCTTCGAGCCGTGGCAATTTGACACTAGTTTTGTAATGGACAAGCAAATTATGATGGTGTAGTTGCAATCTTCAAAGTTCAATGGGCTTTTGTGAAATGTCATGCAAAAGAATAATGATTGTAAGATATAATCTTATCAATTCAAATTACTGAGACAAATTGATTATAAACATGATACTAGAGCGTTTAGCCAAGAGATAATCGTTAGTAAATGATATAAGATTTATAATTAAAAAAATCTCTCAACAATTCAATTTTTTTTTTGACCAATTTGTTTTTGACATGTACTTCTACCTACATTTGAAATTTGAGTGAGCGTCAACATGCCTCGGCCCCTGATTCATTCCGTCCACAAACGAAAGTTCGTTGGACTTGAAGAACATTCTATATATTGGGACAACCGGGATTCAAACATATGACTTTTCGGCCAACGCCCGGTAAGTCCAATTATTGGTGTAAAGGAATCATATAACTGTTTGGTTTGCTATTTTTTCTTAATGTCGTTTGTGACATAATATTCCTTTCGTTCAACTAATTTGTGACGTGATTTTCTTGTTTTGTTATAGTTTTTTCCTCTTTAATGACCCAGTAAGAGATCTACCAAAACTCTCCATGAAATTACAAGTTCTTCTATTGCGTTTGCCTAGTTAGGATTGTAACATTACTCGATTTTGTTCTTCAATTTCGTGTTTGATCATATCAAATTAAAGATTGTTCAGTCATCGTGATTCTTTTGGTTAATGTAGGTATCCATGGAAACTTATTGGTTTTATTCTAGTTGTGTTGTTCCACTAGACAAGAAAGTCATCAACCAAAAGAGCGATGGAATTCACTTTTTTTCCCCCTTTGCCCTAGTATTTGCTTGTGTTTGTGTTTGCTTATTTTCTAGGCTCCAATTTTATGTGGTTCAGTTTTTGTTGAGCTATCTTTTATCTTTATGAATTATTGTTTATTGGTCAATTGGGGTTGTAGCCTTAAAACTCAAGCACATTGAAACTAATTGACATGGTATAGCATTTTTTTTTTCTATGAATGTGAGAATGTTCGTATTCAACGAACAAGTGGAAAGTGCATAAGAAATGGACCAACTTTAAAAATACAATAACAGAAGTCATATAATAAAGAAAAGTAGAGCTAGTATGATAGGTTACATGCTAGATGAGGTTTAAAATAAGAGATAAAATTCTTCCCAAAAACCAAAGAGTAGAGAAATCTATTTTGATATGTTAGGATAACTCTACTTTGATTGTGGACAATGTCGATATTGTATCACAGCTTTTCTCCGCGAAGTCTCATATTTGAAATTCTTATAAATCACCAACACGAATAATTGATTTAAACTCATGGTAGGAATCCATTTAAACTTACAAAGATCGCGCGGCGCTCATCGCGGTACCTCGAGAGTTCGAGACAATCAAACATGGCTAGATAGCTACATATGCTTTGATCTCATTTCAGAATTGTGATAAAAAAACATTCCCATTTCCATTAGTGCACATGCGAGGGAATGAGATTTGCCCTTTTAAAGATCGAGGCAAACTAAAAAAAACTCCCAATAAATTCTTTGTTGCTTCACAGGGAATAAGAACCTAGCTAGCTTGTAAATATACATCTTTACACAAATATGGAGAGCGACATTTGGTGTGTAGTTGAGAGGGGAATTTTCTTTTTGTTCTCAGATCACTCTCTATAAGGCCATATAGATCGATAATGAAGATCGAAGAGCATTTCCTGTTCTTCACTTCGATCGTATTCCATATGATCAAGATTCAAGAAAGGAAAAGGGCAGGCAGGGCCATAATTGGTCTTTGGGAGTGTCTCTCTTTTGTGCATTACAAAAAACCAAGACTTGATGCTTCAAAGTGCTAAGTGGGTGTACAATGATTGGTTACCTGATAGTTAATTATGTCACTATTGTGGAATAGAGATATTTCTTGTTCACGATTAGCTAGGAAGATTGTCGTTTTGCAGATTAGGTGTGTTAGAACGCATCAGGAAATCGATATTTCAAAAAAGTAAAAGAACATACAGATATACGTGGTAACACTATGTGTGTTAGCTAAACCACGGGAACAAGAGACCGGTTTCACTATACTTGATGGGATACATTATATAGAGATTGAGAAGGTAGCAGACTAACCTAATAAAATCAAGAAAAGAAAAGGTACATACATATTGAGACACCACTAACTTCCAGTCGACGACATATAATCTGTACTCAAGTCATGGCAACAAGATGGATCTTTTAGTTGAGAACTAGTTGATGTCAATATTTTGATGTCTGTTGAACAAGTAGTGTTTGCGTACTCTGTTTGGAGTTCGTACAAGTTCACCCATCAAACCTTAAACTTGCACGGCAAGGAGGAGTTACAATTACTATGTCTCGTTGTGCTTGTTGGATTCAATCGTAGGGTTTTTTTGCCCTAGTACAATTACTAGGTTTAAGACTAAGTTGAATTTGTCGACTATTCACACGAGTCCCGAATAAGCTCGAACATAAGCAGCACAATACCAAGATGCCTATAATTGAAATTCAACCATTACATGGACTCATATTTATCTCTTTTGTTTATGTACCTCGATGTAGTGATGACAATGAGACAGGATGGAGCATATACCTCAATACATAATATCGGTTCCATACCAAGCTCGTGTAAGGTCGACTAATGCTTGTAGGGTATGGGTTGAGGTAGATCGACCATTATCATATGTTATTTGAAAACTAGGAGTAAATAGGTAGTTCATAAATGAAAATGGAGATAATCGCCGGACTAGTTGAGTCTAATTAGTTGAAAGTTGAAGTGTTGTACTTATCTAAAGTATCACTAGATAAAAACATATTTAAGAGTAGTTAGAACATGAAATAAGTCAAGAACGGAAAGGGGCGTGACGAAAAATAGTACTCATGTCTCGCCCGACACTACTGCACATTTGATATCACCTACCCTGCACGAATCAGGTCGAGTAATACTCAGTTGAGCACAAATAAATAATTACACTAACTTGATGTCTAAGAATTGCCTCGTTTTCTTGCTGAAGTTTTTGTGTGCATTAAATAGCTAGAAAACAACCACAAAAGTTGAAACCCTAGAAAGTTTGGAAGAGAATAGAGATAGAGAAATGGAGGATGGATCGCCCCCCTCGTCCGCTGTCGTACTACTACTCCATCAATGGCGCGCAGTAGAAGTGAATTGGGAGAGGGGAAAGTGTGGTCACATTCACTACTCTGCTCTGCTGCATCGCCATGCCTACAAACCTCCATCTCTATTCACACAAACCCAAAATTCAGAACAACACAAAAACAATAGAGTGAGAGAGAGAGAGAGGATATAGAAAATATCTTGTGGCTATGAAAAGGAGTAGTTCTGGCAAGTTAAAGCTACCCAACTTTACATAGTTATAGTTTAGCTACAACACCCGTGAATGAATTAGGAAAATAGTTTCTTTATATTAGACAAGAAAGTATAAACCCTAATTAGTAAGAACAAATTAAAGGATTGGCCTTTATTCCACAATAAGGGGGTGAAAAGGATGAGGTGAAAATCATTGTTTTTCATTTACTTATAGGCTATGACAATGTTGAAAATAGAGTTGTCAAAAACTGGTGTCGATAATTCAAGCGTGAATTTTTTTTTTAAATGTGGATCATATATAATTTATTTACACATGCACCTGTTAATCGAAAACCTACCGACTAATTCCATTATTCGAATTGACCAGAGCGGCAGAGCCTCTACTATCATGTTGAGAATCGGTTGGGTCTCATTACTTGAGTCGTATAATACATTAACCGATTACACACTGACCCGAAATCGAGGTGAACCCCACTTAACTAGCCACCTAGTTTATCTCCCCCCTCCTCAAACCCTAATTCAAGTGGGAATAGAACCCCTTTTCATTTCTCAACTGATTGGGTAACTAAACAGTAGATTTCACCCCCAACCCCCAAGTACTACTTACATTAGTCTTTTCACTTGAGACTTGACATCTAACTGTATGTCCATTTGTGTTAGGAAGAGACCTGCCCACCCAAAAAAAAAAAAGTCTATCTACTGTTATGATACGTTATAATGGTAAATATATAGGCTGTAGTCAGGTATACCAGAGAAAAGCAAATCAAAGCAAAACCCATTTAAGCTACAGGCTGCCTCCTGAGAGCTGCTAAAAGCAAGAGAGGGGGGAAAAAAAACTTCTCTCACAAAAAGGAATATGTGAAAAATGAGGGTTTTATACTAATAATAATTATTTTGTGTATATATATTTGGGGAGTCCAGTTGCCTTTGCTCTATAACCATTTTCAGGCAGAAAGAGAGAGAGATAGGGCAAGAGAGAAGCTAAGAAAGAAAGGGCTTGCTGTAGAGCCAGCCACCTAATTTTCTGAAAATTAAACCTCCTCTTCTTTCTTCCTGTTTCTTCTTGTTGATCTCTTCAGCTTGTTAAGGAAAGAGGGAAGATCATCTCCATGTCTAGCTGCATAGATATGGTGCCTGAGCAACTCTGCTACATCCCTTGCAACTTCTGCAATATTGTGCTCGCGGTAAACTTTATACTCCTCTTCCCTCTTGATTCTTCTACCTATCTGCCTATCAATCAAGCAATTGGGATTCAATTCATGGATATGAAGATATAACAGTAATGGTGATCTATCTATGCATGTGAGCTAGCAACCATTAATTTAAGCAGCAAGTTCTCTCCTTTCTCCTTTTCTCTTGGTGGGTTTTGGTCATTTTTTGGGCTTCTCTTGTGGCAAATCTAGAGAGAATCTTAAAGAGGGGGGAAAGTATGGTAAATTTTGTGTCTTTTTTCAAGTTTTCATGGTGGTTGTACTTCTTGGGCGATGAATGATAAAAGCTTCCTTCAAGAGCTGAGTTTATGCTGGTTTCATGATGATCAGAAGTGACAGGCATGCATCCTTCCACTCAGAAGTCCTTCTCTTTCTTTGACAGTCAAGAGAAAAAGTGAGAGAGAGCCATCTCTGAAACAAAGGTCATCGTCTGTCACAAATTGCAAGTGTTTTTTCAATTGATGATGAAGACAACTCGTCCTTCACAAACCATGGCTTCCCTCTCTCCCTCTCTCTCTATCCATCCATAGCTGTCTCTACTCTCTTTCACCCACTTACATAGTGCCTGCGCCACAAACAAGATCTCTTTCTTCTTCTCTGTCTCTCAGAGACATTTCGTCGAACACTTAGGGGACGAACATCCCCGTCCCCTCGACCGAGTCCCGACCCAGCTATCAATTCATGCAATTCCGAATGTTTGAAATCATGGGTTTCTCTTCTCCCCGTATTGGAATCAAACCCATCAAAGCAAAATGGAAAAAGGTGAGATCTTTGAGGACTAACTTAATTTTATCTTCTTTTATCTATTGTGGCAGGTGAGCGTTCCATGCAGCAATCTGCTGGACATAGTCACCGTCCGATGCGGGCACTGCACGAACCTCTGGTCGGTCAACATGGCCGCTGCCTTCCAGTACTCTCTCTCTTCCTGGCACCACCACCACCAGGTAACTAAACTACTTTCAATTTCTCTCTTCCTTATAGTAGTAGCTAGGCGTGGCTGCAGCCGCCTCCTCTGCAATTCTAGGGTTTCTTTTTGGGTCACTAGTTGGAGAGATGGATGTGTTTCTTAAAAGAAGGGATCTATTACTATGTATGCAATGTTTAGACTGTGGCGGCAGATGCTGCCTGCAGCCGCTAATCCCTGGTTTTTGCGGCTAAAAAAGCAAATACCCAGCTGTTTGTTTTTGTTTCTCTCTCAATAACACCTACCTAGATGCCTATTTTGACTACCCAGTACCTTCTCTCTCTCTCTCTAGCTAGCTATGGCTGCCTTCCTTTTCTCTCTCTCTCTTTCAGAAAAAGAGAAACATTCAGATTCATGATTTGATGGGATTTGTGCTGATGAGATGTGTGTCCTGTCGTTTCTCTCTGGTTAGGGTTTGTTTTGTTTGGTTCTGCCTGCCTGCATTACTTTCATACATTCGATAGGATTGGCCAGCAACAGTAGCATTTAGTTATGTAATAACTACTTCTCGTCGATCGTTAAACCGTATATTGAAAGTTATACCGGAAAATTAGTAATAGAGTGATTTGTATTAAATTTGTGGTTCGACCGTTTAATCTGACTGAATGGTTAAGTACGGTTTCGAAAATGTTGCTTTTCATTTCATATCATGGGAACATAACATACGATCTAGTCACTTCAATATTGTTCCCTCTTTTACGTATTAGCTAGTTATTGTGATTTATAGGGAGGAAATGGATACCAGAACAACAATGTTGCTAGTAACTTGAACTATCACCATGCTGCTGCTGGCTCCTCTTCATCTTCCGCCAAATCGAGCCCGGCCACGACCAAGCTGCCTGCAGCCCGATCGTTGGCCGCGGCTAACCTAGCTGAAGAACGGATCATCAACCGACGTGAGTATATCGTTCTTCAGAGACGATCATGTTGATCTTAATGTTCGAACTTTAAAGGTGTGGTGAAACTTGTTGATATGGGTTGTGTGTTTTTTTTTTTTTCGGTTCATTTTTTCAGCTCCCGAGAAGAGGCAGCGAGTGCCTTCTGCGTACAACCAGTTCATCAAGTGCGTATATACTATAGTTTGGAGTTAAGTCATTGAATAATACCTAACAAGGAATGACTAGTTGTGAAATGTAACTTTGTACTACTTGTGTATTGATTCGCGTAGGGAGGAGATCCAGAGGATCAAGGCTAATAACCCGGACATTAGTCACCGCGAGGCTTTCAGTACCGCCGCGAAAAATGTAAGTTTGTTTATGGTACATCTTTAATTTTGAGCAAATTCGATGTAGGTATACATGACTTATAAGTAGATCTAGCCTGATATCAAAATTTTGTTGTTTTTTTTTTTGGGACATGGACAGTGGGCACACTTCCCACACATCCACTTTGGGTTGATGCTCGAGACTAACAAAAAGACGGCCTACTAAGCTCCGTCGATCATCATCGTTAGACGACGTTCATGTAAGTCTTATAAGATGGAGAGATGTGACTATCTAACTAGCTAGTAAACTGTACATATTTCGATAAATCGAACTAATGTTGTATTTTGTTGATATATTTTAGGGTTGAGAGGAAGATGGTGTAATGTGAAGGGGTTTGCCACAATTTGGAGGCTAATGAGTGCTAATTGAGGAGCGGGGGCTCGATATGGTTCCTGCATGGATGGTCTTGATTTTTCCTCAGATTATGAAGTTGTAATCCATTTTTAATTACCAAAAGCATGTTTTATTTTTTGTTGTTGTTGGTTTTTTGGCTTTCTTTGTTGGAATATGATGATGGATTTTAAGGACATATACATGGAGAAAACCTGTATATCTATCTCGGCTGAGATAGATGTACACATATGCAATGCTATGTTCCTATGAAATACTTGATGTTTTCGTTGTGGATGCTCATAATATTGAGAATGCTCATTGCAATTCAATAGGGGTCGTTTTGATTAATCAATTGAAAAAATGAGACAATTTGGTTAAATGTCTTATTTACAAAACAAGTCATTTAATTAAAACGATCCAATTCGAATTGCCTGTCCCCACTCCAGACAATTGTAATTGCCTCAAAACGAGTCAATATGAAATTCCCCAGACAGAATTGCTTCATTTAAATTTTGTGTTGTCAAACAGATCAATTTAGACCAGATTGTCTCAAAACTAAACAATTGGATCAAATTAATCTAATAGAATTTCCCAAATGGACAATTAAATTAGAATTTATTGCAACAAATGGACAAAAAATTGTTGCAGTTTGTTTGGATGTATTCAAATGGCATTCGTCTCCTTCCAAGACGGAAATTTGTATAATAATTTCGTAATGATTTTCTGTACAATCATTACGCAATGATTTTTGCCCCCCTGGATTTCGGTTAATTTTTCAATGGAAAAATGCATACATGTGAGTATATATCCAGAAGCTGGACCGATCAATTTTACCAGCCGAGACGACAGTCAGTCGGTCAGTCTGCTAGCGACTGAATTTCAGGCGGGCGCGCGGTGCCGTCGTTTTCACCTCTGCTGGCCGGCTTTTTACATGAATACGGTGGACATCTAACCTTCTCTTCTCTTGGCCAATTTCTGTTAGCTAGCTACAACCAGAATCCAAAATTTCGTGTTCTCGATTTTGGATTTGAGACATTGAAAATATGTGGACCATAATCATGATTAAAAAAACGCGTGTTTAATCCTACGGTTAGTCATAGGAAACGTCAAAACGTTTCACTTAGGGATAACCGAACTCGTTTTCATGCAAAACATTTCGCTTACTGAAATGATAATGTGTTTACATTTTGTTTATGGTTAGGAATAGACATAACTAGAACCTGTTTGTGTATATATTTATGTATATCCTTATTTGATACGCTTCATGTTTCCTTCTTTTTAATGGACATTTCAAGCTTTGACTCGGATAAACGGGTAGCTTAAGTACGTACTACACAATGTAAATCATCATGTCGTATCTTATTTGTTTCTTTATTGCATACCCGATTTGTAAATGATTTGAATATAAAACTCTCACGATGAAAAGATGTTACAAGAAGCTCAGGATCCTTATTATCTTTTACGCTATAGATATGATTCGCACATCGTCGAGATTATTGCAGTCTGAAATCCGACGCTCCTAACACTTATGACCTCTGATTTATTAGGAAATTTGGTTATGATCATGATTCAAATAAGGCGCTTGGCATTTGGCAATGCCATAATTTCTAGGGCACTCGATTTTTTTTTTTTTTTTTTCATGGGGAGATCAAGGATCATGAGTATCTAGACATATAACATATTTAAGATCACAAATTGGACCACAAGATACATAATGACAACATTAATTATGAAGATAATACAAGAAGCTAATTTCCACGTATATAAATATGAATGTGTGTGTGGATGTGACATGGTCCCAACTATATAGTTGGTCATCTAGGGATTGCACATTTCACAAGAACCACATAATCCAAATTGAACACATTTAATATGAATCGACATACATGTGTGTCATTTGCAATGTCTACGAGGGACAAAGAAAGTGATTGGTTGCCAAATTGTCTTATTAATGTTAGCCACGATATAGCATATTCCAACTAGTTATACTCATCAAAATTTGAGATTTTTTCCCCCATCATCCTGATTTCGGGTACCCTGAATCTTACGAGACAAGTCTAAGACGACACAATATACAATGCTCTATAGGAGATACGTCATACGACATACAGATTTTCCAGTCGTGTTTGACATGGTCAAACATATTTCCGGTTTGTTGTTTCCTTTCGGGATCGAATGTAATCGGTGGTTATATGTATGTGATGATAACAAAAGGTGGTATCTTTCCCTTTCAAAAAAAGCATATAGACGCATATATCTACCAAAAACTTAAAGACTTAGCCTGTCTACCACTCACTTCCTCCTCAATCTCTTGGCCTCCTGGCAAATGGGGTAGCCATATATATACACATATCATCATGATCACTAGATTAAAGAAGGGCATTATGGTTTGAGATAGGGCACTAGCTTAGCTAGTTGGTTGGTAACTGACTAACTGGTTAAGTCTCAATGCTAACAAGTAGTATTGCTATGATGATGATGATGGAGGTCTCCAGTTATATGTGTTCTGGTCAACAATGTGAAACTGGTCTCTCTCGTACGTGATTGGACTATACGTATTGTATTAGTTAATCGTGCAAATATGTGACTTCTTTTTACCCCCTTACTTTATTGATGATTAGGGTCATCCTACCAAAGCCCTCTAGCAAGCTGGAAGTATTTTAAGGATAGGGTTTGCTGTTCCAATTGCCTTGGTCAAAATCTACCATGGTTTCACTTATGAACTTTTCTCTTTTCATAGTGGGGGTTTCATTTGTATATGCCTAGAAAAGAAAGAAAAAAAAGTGTAAAAGAGCAAAGGCTATAATTTGTTTCCTTGCTTTTATACGGATATAATGGCTTTTTTCTGTAATCCTTTCAAAAACAATATGGAAAGAAGGTTTAATAGTCTTGTTTGTGGATGAAAGAAAAGTTGGGTCTAATTCATCCCAAAAAAAAAAAAAAAAACGGGTCTAAATAGATTGCGAATTTGTACAAATAGGGTCTAAATAAATGTGTACATGTTAGGGGCTGAAAATGTAAATTCAATGTAAAAAAAGCTCTATAAATTAGGGCATGAATGTGTATTTGCTTGGGACGAATGTGTATATGATCTAAGTTGGTTTTCTCGTTCGGTCTGATTAGTTGTTCTAACTTTCAATACAAAACTATATCCTACATCATCATATATAGTAACTGACATCATCATTATTCTTGAAATTGTCTGTTCCATATCGTTTCACAACATGGTCCGATATGATGTGAATGAGATTCGACATTAAGAAGAGTAATGATGAGATGCTCGCGAAACGGACCGAAGAGTAGTGTGTCGCGCGCGAGACTATTAGATTTCGGAAGAATTATATATATAGCGAAAACCATCCGAATTTTTTCGATCCTGGGTTGACGAATCGAGAAGAGATTAAACAAAGCATCTATGCTAGATCCCATCGAGCCAATAACCCCTGTGCAAGATGCTTAGTTAAGTTTCTACCACCAAAAGAAAGCAGGAGGGCTTTTGTTTTTGAAAGTTGAGAGAAGGGTGTAGACTGTAGAGTACATGTGTACTTTGTTACTATATAAAAAAAATGCATGCTCCTCCAAATTTTGCTAGGGCTTGGTGGGCATGAATGAAGAGCAGACAGCAGCTAGCAAAAAAAAGCTGCTATGCATGGACGGCCATGGCCAAGAAGAAAAAATGTAGAAAAAAGGCGAGTTTCTGACAATCGGAATCTGAAACGTCAACTTCATGTCTGTCTGGAAAACGCATTCAATGGGGTTTTCTTTTCTTTTCTTCTACTTGGCGTTGTTTTGTTTATGGCTCTGTCATTTCATTCCAACTTTCTCCACCCGCGACCCACAACCTCCCCTGCTTCGGAGTTTGAGCTTATGCACTACACATCCCAGAGGCTCCAGCTATTGGCAATCCGCCAACTTTGAAGTTAGAACCGGTGTTTAGCCAAAACCGTACTTGTTCTGGCGGACCGATCGCTCATTTGGAATTTAAGTTGGCAGACGGCCGTTTTTAGCGGATATGAAACGATTGAAGCACGTCGTTTCGTTTGTTTGGAATATAAGCAGTGGACCGAGTGCTTGTTAGTGGTTTGATGCTAAATCGTACGTTGGAACGGGTCTGGTCTAAGTGAATTGCTCGTTGAAAATGAAACACAATTGTATCCAACCCATTTTTTTTTATCAATCATGGCTAATGGGTCAATCCCACTCAACCCGTCAATTAGGAATGGGCAGGTCCGGGGCGGGTTTCTTGGTGCCCAGACCCGTCCCGTGGCAGGTCGGGTACAGGTCAGGTAATTTATTACGGGTTGCGGGTCGGGGCAGATCGACCCAATGGGTATGCAATTTATATGAAAAACATTAGAAATATTCATTATTTTTATTGTAAGACCAAGAAAACAAACAATATTATGATAAATGTAGTTAAATTATTGGAGAAATTGAGGTTTTCACTAATTTAAAACTTTATTATAGCTAAAATATGATGTAATAAAAGGAAAATTCTAAGTAATTTGACTAAGATTACAAGTAATTTAAGCAAGAACGGATCGAGAATAGGGCGGGTCAGGGAAAGTCGGGTCAATGAGAGTACCCTTGCCCGCCCCGCCCCACCTACGGAGCGGGTTCAGATCCGCCACAAAACATACCAAACATATCAAGTAAAACAGGTCCGATCGAAATTACCATACCGTCCCTACCGTCAATCCAATGTAGATTTGAGAACAAGTGCTATTTTACTTATGTTATTTATGGTCCCTCCCTCACCAATCCCTGTCACACTCTCTACTCTTTTATAATGACTATTTCTCTTAGCCAACAACTATCCACCAAAACCAAAAAGGAGAGCCCACTGCTAGGGCTGCAAATGAGCCGAGCTGAGCCGAGTTTTACCCAAGTTTGAGCTTGACTCATTAACAAATGAGCTGAGCTCGAGCCCGAGCCATTTATTAACGAGCCGAGTCGAGTCGAGTTCGAGCTAGGCTTGTTTACTAAATTCTCAGATCGTATTTAATACATTCATTTTGTATGTCGTGTATGGTACATGTGATTGATGTAGTGATAAAAAAATAATCAAATGTTCAACATTAATTAATCTTATATTATAATTTTTAGGTGTCATATTGTTTAGTTAATAAATTTTAACTAGTTCAAATCATGTTATTTCATAGTATCGAAACAATTTTGTATATAATTTCTTTGTAGAATTAAAAATAAGGCATATTTTCTTACATGTTCAACATGTTAAACTTCACATGATGTGAGATATATAATTTAACAATCCTTTGAATTATGAAAGTCCAAATTAGATCGATTAGTCCATAAGTCAGTGATCAAGTTGGCCCTCAAAAC